GTGTGACACTGTAATGAGGTGTGACACTGTAACGAGGTGTGACACTGTAATGAGGTGTGACACTGTAATGAGGTGTGACACTGTAATGAGGTGTGACACTGTAATGAGGTGTGACACTGTAACGAGGTGTGACACTGTAACGAGGTGTGACACTGTAATGAGGTGTGACACTGTGATGAGGTGTCACACTGTAACGAGGTGTGACACTGTAACGAGGTGTGACACTGTAACGAGGTGTGACACTGTAACGAGGTGTGACACTGTAATGAGGTGTGACACTGTAATGAGGTGTGACACTGTAATGAGGTGTGACACTGTAATGAGGTGTGACACTGTAATGAGGTGTGACACTGTAATGAGGTGTGACACTGTAATGAGGTGTGACACTGTAATGAGGTGTGACACTGTAACGAGGTGTGACACTGTAATGAGGTGTGACACTGTAATGAGGTGTGACACTGTAATGAGGTGTGACACTGTAACGAGGTGTGACACTGTAACGAGGTGTGACACTGTAATGAGGTGTGACACTGTAATGAGGTGTGACACTGTAACGAGGTGTGACACTGTAATGAGGTGTGACACTGTAACGAGGTGTGACACTGTAATGAGGTGTGACACTGTAATGAGGTGTGACACTGTAATGAGGTGTGACACTGTAATGAGGTGTGACACTGTAATGAGGTGTGACACTGTAATGAGGTGTGACACTGTAACGAGGTGTGACACTGTAACGAGGTGTGACACTGTAATGAGGTGTGACACTGTAACGAGGTGTGACACTGTAATGAGGTGTGACACTGTAATGAGGTGTGACACTGTAATGAGGTGTGACACTGTAACGAGGTGTGACACTGTAACGAGGTGTGACACTGTAATGAGGTGTGACACTGTAATGAGGTGTGACACTGTAATGAGGTGTGACACTGTAATGAGGTGTCACACTGTAACGAGGTGTGACACTGTAACGAGGTGTGACACTGTAATGAGGTGTGACACTGTAATGAGGTGTCACACTGTAACGAGGTGTGACACTGTAACGAGGTGTGACACTGTAACGAGGTGTGACACTGTGACCTGTACGAGGTGTGACACTGTAATGAGGTGTGACACGGTAGTGAGGTGTGACACTGTAATGAGGTGTGACACTGTAATGAGGTGTGACACTGTAACGAGGTGTGACACTGTAATGAGGTGTGACACTGTAATGAGGTGTGACACTGTAATGAGGTGTGACACTGTAACGAGGTGTGACACTGTAATGAGGTGTGACACTGTAATGAGGTGTGACACTGTAATGAGGTGTGACACTGTAATGAGGTGTGACACTGTAACGAGGTGTGACACTGTAACGAGGTGTGACACTGTAATGAGGTGTGACACTGTAATGAGGTGTCACACTGTAACGAGGTGTGACACTGTAACGAGGTGTGACACTGTAACGAGGTGTGACACTGTAACGAGGTGTGACACTGTAACGAGGTGTGACACTGTAATGAGGTGTGACACTGTAATGAGGTGTGACACTGTAATGAGGTGTGACACTGTAATGAGGTGTGACACTGTAATGAGGTGTGACACTGTAATGAGGTGTGACACTGTAATGAGGTGTGACACTGTAACGAGGTGTGACACTGTAATGAGGTGTGACACTGTAATGAGGTGTGACACTGTAATGAGGTGTGACACTGTAATGAGGTGTGACACTGTAACGAGGTGTGACACTGTAACGAGGTGTGACACTGTAATGAGGTGTGACACTGTAATGAGGTGTGACACTGTAATGAGGTGTGACACTGTAATGAGGTGTGACACTGTAACGAGGTGTGACACTGTAACGAGGTGTGACACTGTAATGAGGTGTGACACTGTAATGAGGTGTCACACTGTAACGAGGTGTGACACTGTAACGAGGTGTGACACTGTAACGAGGTGTGACACTGTAACGAGGTGTGACACTGTAATGAGGTGTGACACTGTAATGAGGTGTGACACTGTAATGAGGTGTGACACTGTAATGAGGTGTGACACTGTAATGAGGTGTGACACTGTAACGAGGTGTGACACTGTAATGAGGTGTGACACTGTAACGAGGTGTGACACTGTAATGAGGTGTGACACTGTAATGAGGTGTGACACTGTAATGAGGTGTGACACTGTAACGAGGTGTGACACTGTAACGAGGTGTGACACTGTAATGAGGTGTGACACTGTAATGAGGTGTCACACTGTAACGAGGTGTGACACTGTAACGAGGTGTGACACTGTAACGAGGTGTGACACTGAAACGAGATGTGACACTGTAATGAGGTGTGACACTGTAATGAGGTGTGACACTGTAATGAGGTGTGACACTGTAACGAGGTGTGACACTGTAATGAGGTGTGACACTGTAATGAGGTGTGACACTGTAACGAGGTGTGACACTGTAATGAGGTGTGACACTGTAACGAGGTGTGACACTGTAATGAGGTGTGACACTGTAATGAGGTGTGACACTGTAACGAGGTGTGACACTGTAACGAGGTGTGACACTGTAATGAGGTGTGACACTGTAATGAGGTGTCACACTGTAACGAGGTGTGACACTGTAACGAGGTGTGACACTGTAACGAGGTGTGACACTGTAACGAGGTGTGACACTGTAACGAGGTGTGACACTGTAATGAGGTGTGACACTGTAATGAGGTGTGACACTGTAACGAGGTGTGACACTGTAATGAGGTGTGACACTGTAACGAGGTGTGACACTGTAATGAGGTGTGACACTGTAATGAGGTGTGACACTGTAATGAGGTGTGACACTGTAACGAGGTGTGACACTGTAATGAGGTGTGACACTGTAATGAGGTGTGACACTGTAATGAGGTGTGACACTGTAATGAGGTGTGACACTGTAACGAGGTGTGACACTGTAACGAGGTGTGACACTGTAACGAGGTGTGACACTGTAACGAGGTGTGACACTGTAACGAGGTGTGACACTGTAATGAGGTGTGACACTGTAATGAGGTGTGACACTGTAACGAGGTGTGACACTGTAATGAGGTGTGACACTGTAACGAGGTGTGACACTGTAATGAGGTGTGACACTGTAATGAGGTGTGACACTGTAATGAGGTGTGACACTGTAACGAGGTGTGACACTGTAATGAGGTGTGACACTGTAATGAGGTGTGACACTGTAATGAGGTGTGACACTGTAATGAGGTGTGACACTGTAACGAGGTGTGACACTGTAATGAGGTGTGACACTGTCATGAGGTGTGACACTGTAACGAGGTGTGACACTGTAATGAGGTGTGACACTGTAACGAGGTGTGACACTGTAATGAGGTGTGACACTGTAATGAGGTGTGACACTGTAATGAGGTGTGACACTGTAATGAGGTGTGACACTGTAACGAGGTGTGACACTGTAACGAGGTGTGACACTGTAATGAGGTGTGACACTGTAATGAGGTGTCACACTGTAACGAGGTGTGACACTGTAACGAGGTGTGACACTGTAACGAGGTGTGACACTGTAACGAGGTGTGACACTGTAATGAGGTGTGACACTGTAATGAGGTGTGACACTGTAATGAGGTGTGACACTGTAACGAGGTGTGACACTGTAATGAGGTGTGACACTGTAACGAGGTGTGACACTGTAATTAGGTGTGACACTGTAATGAGGTGTGACACTGTAATGAGGTGTGACACTGTAACGAGGTGTGACACTGTAACGAGGTGTGACACTGTAACGAGGTGTGACACTGTAATGAGGTGTGACACTGTAATGAGGTGTGACACTGTAACGAGGTGTGACACTGTAACGAGGTGTGACACTGTAACGAGGTGTGACACTGTAACGAGGTGTGACACTGTAACGAGGTGTGACACTGTAACGAGGTGTGACACTGTAACGAGGTGTGACACTGTAATGAGGTGTGACACTGTAATGAGGTGTGACACTGTAAGGAGGTGTGACACTGTAACGAGGTGTGACACTGTAATGAGGTGTGACACTGTAATGAGGTGTGACACTGTAATGAGGTGTGACACTGTAACGAGGTGTGACACTGTAATGAGGTGTGACACTGTAATGAGGTGTGACACTGTAACGAGGTGTGACACTGTAATGAGGTGTGACACTGTAATGAGGTGTGACACTGTAATGAGGTGTGACACTGTAACGAGGTGTGACACTGTAATGAGGTGTGACACTGTAATGAGGTGTGACACTGTAATGAGTTGTGACACTGTAACGAGGTGTGACACTGTAATGAGGTGTGACACTGTAATGAGGTGTGACACTGTAACGAGGTGTGACACTGTAATGAGGTGTGACACTGTAATGAGGTGTGACACTGTAACGAGGTGTGACACTGTAACGAGGTGTGACACTGAAACGAGATGTGACACTGTAACGAGGTGTGACACTGAAACGAGGTGTGACACTGTAATGAGGTGTGACACTGTAATGAGGTGTGACACTGTAATGAGGTGTGACACTGTAATGAGGTGTGACACTGTAACGAGGTGTGACACTGTAACGAGGTGTGACACTGTAATGAGGTGTGACACTGTAATGAGGTGTGACACTGTAACGAGGTGTGACACTGTTATGAGGTGTGACACTGTAACGAGGTGTGACACTGTAACGAGATGTGACACTGTAATGAGGTGTGACACTGTAATGAGGTGTGACACTGTAACGAGGTGTGACACTGTAATGAGGTGTGACACTGTAACGAGGTGTGACACTGAAACGAGATGTGACACTGTAACGAGGTGTGACACTGAAACGAGATGTGACACTGTAACGAAGTGTGACACTGTAACGAGGTGTGACACTGTAACGAGGTGCTGCCTCACACACAGATGCCGTCGCGTTACTCTCTCCCCCTCTCCAATCCGTTGTTGTATCCTCCCTCTACGCTCCTCTCTCCCCTCGCTCCTCTCTCCTCTCTCCTCTCTCCGCTCATCTCCCTCTTGCAATGCTAATACACCTTACGATGCTTCCAAGTCCCGTGTTCCTTCCCTTCACCTGCCCCCACCCCAACCACCCACGGCCCCCCATCGTCCCCCTCTTCCCCTCTCCCCTCCACAGCTGCCGTCTCTTATCTTCCCCCATCCTTGCCCTTTTCCCTCCCCTTCGCCTCCCCCATCCTCCCCCATCCTCCCCCATCCTCCCCCGTCCTCCCCTACCTCCCTCATCCTCCCCATCCTCTCCCATCATCATCCGTCTTCCCTCGTCCCCCTCTCCAATTCGTTATCCCTTCCCCCACTCTCCCCCCAATCCCCCCCAATCAGCCCAGAGTTTCCAGTTTTCAGTGCGTGGAAGGCCCTTGCTTTCCTCTCCTCCTCATCCTCCCACCCTCCCTGTCCCAATCCCCCTCCCCTTCCCCCTTCCCCCTCCCCCTCTCCCAACTTCCCCTCCCCCCCCTTCTCTCCAATCCCCCCCCTTCTCTCCAATCCCCCCCCTTAATCCTCCCCCAACCAGCGCAGAGTTTCCCAGTGCGTGGCAGGCCCTTGCTTCTCTCCCCCAACCCCTCGGCCAACCAGAACTCGCCACGTGGCACCCCCTCCCCCCCGAAGAGCCGGGGGAGGGGAAGGGGGAGCATGGGGGACAGGGGGAGCTTGGGGGGAATGGGGCGCTGGAGCAGCAGAGGGAGGAGTGGGGGGAGGTGGTGGGGGGAGGGCAGAGGGGCAGCATGGGGCAGCAGCGCTACTGCACCTATGTGGATGAGTTTGTGAAGGCTGGACGGGGAGACGAGGTGGGTGCTGTGCGGTGCTGTGCGGTACTGTGTGTATGGGTAGGTGTTGGTGCGGCACTGACCCCAGAAAAGGCAGCATGGGGCAGCAGCAATACTGCACCTACGTGGATGAGTTTGTGAAGGCTAGACGGGGGGATGAGGTGGGTGCTGTGCGGTGCTATGGATGTATTTCTGGGTGCTCAGGGTGTTGTGCTCACCCACGTTGGGGCAGCATGACCAAGAAGCATCGTTCCTGCATTGCACTCTACTTCCCTTACCCCCAACCACTCCTGCCCCCGCCCATTCCCCCCTCCCAACCCTCGTCCTCCCTTTCATCCCCCTTAGTATTCCCTCCCCCCCTTCGTCTTCCTCTCTCCCCACCCTGTTTTCTCCTGTTCAGCCCACTCAACAACCACTTCCCACTCAACAATCGCTTCCCCCTGCCACCCCGCTCCCCCCTCCCACCCCGCTTCCCCCTCCCACCCCGCTTCCCCCTCCCACCCCGCTTGCCCCTCCCACCCCGCTCCCCCCTCCCACCCCGCTTCCCCCTCCCACCCCGCTTCCCCCTCCCACCCCGCTCCCCCCTCCCACCCCGCTTCCCCCTCCCACCCCGCTTCCCCCTCCCACCCCGCTCCCCCCTCCCACCCCGCTTCCCCCTCCCACCCCGCTCCCCCCTCCCATCCCGCTTCCCCCTCCCACCCCGCTTCCCCCTCCCACCCCGCTTCCCCCTCCCACCCCGCTTCCCCCTCTCTCTCCCCTTCCCCCTCTCTCTCCCCTTCCCCCTCTCTCTCCCCTTCCCCCTCTCTCTCCCCTTCCCCCTCTCTCTCCCCTCCCCCCTCTCTCTCCCCTCCCCCCTCCCTCTCCCATTTTCCTCTCCCTGCCAGCCATCACTCGCCTCCCTGCCACCCGCCGCCCCTATTCTTCGGAAGCTTATTCTCAGCGCATGCCCATCCATTGATGGGGCCGGCGTCTTTCGGCCGTATCTTAAGGTGGGTCGGCAGCAGTTGTCTCTCGTGGCCGGCAGCAGCGAGAGTGTGTAGTGATGGGGAGGGTGTGTGCTGTGCAATGATGGGTGCACACTTGAATAGCATCATGGTGCCATGCCGTGAATATGCTGCTCACATGCATGCATCGCCCACCACACCCCATGTATGTATGCTATGCTGCTATGCCGTGCACTGCTAATCATGATCTGGCGGTTACCCTTGGCTGTGGCAGGTGTTTCGGAGGGGAGCACAAGTGAGCAGCAGTGTCTTGCCTGGGGAGGTGAGGCGTGGGGGAGGTGAAGCGTGGGGGAAGTGAGTTGTGGGGGAGGTGAGGCATGGGGGAGGTGAAGTGTGGGGGAAGTGAGTTGTGGGGGAGGTGAGGCGTGGGGGAGGTGAGGCGTGGGGGAGGTGAGGCGTGGGGGAGGTGAGGCGTGGGGGAAGTGAGGCGTGGGGGAGGTGAGGCGTGGGGGAGGTGAGGCGTGGGGGAGGTGAAGCGTGGGGGAAGTGAGTTGTGGGGGAGGTGAGGCGTGGGGGAGGTGAGGCGTGGGGGAGGTGAAGCGAGGGGCAGAGCGGGCAGATGGAAAAGCAAAAGGGGTGGGTGGGAGAAAAGGGGTAGATGGGGAGACAAAGGGGTCGGTCGGGAATCAACAGGTTAGATGAAGAAGCAATGGGGCAGACGGGGAAACAAAGGGGTTGATTGGGAAACAAAGGGGTTGATTGGGAAACAAAGGGGTTGATTGGGAAACAACCCTGCCTTTGCCACCCTTGCCTCTCCTCTCCTCTCTATTTTTCCTTTTTAATCTCCTCTGCTCTTACCCCAATCTCCACCCATTACCCTCCCCTTGCCACCTACCTCCAGGTTCCTCCATCCTTCCCCACGGGGTCAGCCTGGATGGCGCCCTTTGAGGTCAACGCCCCTGTGTGGGGCGACTGGCTATGCCTCCCCCCTTTCCCCATCGCTCCATTCTCCCCTTCCCCACTCCCCACCCTTCCCACCCGCGTACCTCCAGGTGCCGCCCTCCTTCCCTACTGGTTCAGCCTGGATGGTGCCCTTTGAGATCAACGCCCCTGTGTGGGGCGACTGACTGTGCCTTACCCACTTCCCCATTCCCCCGTCCCCCCTCCCCCCAACCTCCAGGTGCCGCCATCCTTCCCCACGGGGTCAGCGTGGATGGTGCCCTTCGAGGTCAACGCCCCTGTGTGGGGCGACTGTGCATTCGCCGTGCATCACTGGACAGGTAGCATTTGGGAAGGTAGCTCGTGGGGAGGTAGCATGTGAGGAGGTAGCATGTGGGGAGGTAGCATGTGAGGAGGTAGCATGTGGGGAGGTAGCATGTGAGGAGGTAGCATGTGAGGAGGTAGCATGTGAGGAGGTAGCATGTGGGGAGGTAGCATGTGGGGAGGTAGCACGTGGGGAGATACCATGTGGGGAGATAGCATGTGGGGAGGTAGCGTAACACGTGGGGAGGTAGGATATGGGCAGGTAGCATTTAGCCAATGCGCATCTGGACAGATAATACCTGGAGAAAAAGGCTCGGTGCTGTGACTTTGGCATGTAATACAGGACGGAATCTAGGTAGGCCGGATTTGAAGAGGTAGCATCTAGGCAGGTTAGACGTGTGCAAAGGGCATACTCCATACGGTGTATTGAGTTCTCTGCCCCATACCCTTTCTCACAACCCCCTCACGGCTTTCACTCTCTACCCCTCTCGCCTAATCTCTGTACCTCTTGAGTACTAAGCAACACTCTATTTTTGAGGCGCCTCAGAAATAGACGCTTCATCTTCGTACCTCCCAAGTACCAGCAGCAGGGAGAAAGAGTGCAGTCTCGAGCTTGTCGTTGCATTTGAGGCGCCTCAATGATTGTTAATTCTCGCTCTCCATTCTGCATCCCCCTACCCGCCAGGCAACAGCAGCAGGGACGAGAGCGAGCCCGTGTTTGTCTTCGCTTTCCACTCGGCGTTCCTACGCATCGGCCTCACTCGAATAACCCTTCACGAGGTAACGCCTTCCCCTGTACCGCCCTACTCTTCCCTTAGAGCACCGGTCTCACTTGAATAACCTTTACGGATTAACACGTGAATAGCCCTACATGAGGTAAGGTAAGGCGTGGATTCACCTCCGCCCTTCTCCCTTGTTGTATTCTTGTTAAGTTCCTACACCCTCCTTACCAGAATGGGTTCGTACACCCTCCTCTTCCCATCTCTATCCCCTCCACCCGTCTCCCCTTTTTCTACCACCCCATCTGCTCGACTGTGCGTATGGGGGAGGCAAGTACCCGCCAATTTCCCCTCTTACTACCCAACCAGCTCAGCTCCTCCTCTACTGCTTCACTTTTCCTCCCCTCCGTTCACCCCCTTTTCTACCACCCCAGCAGCTCGCCTGTGCCTACGGGGGAGACATCCAAGTGCCTTCTTCATTGAGGAAAGGAGAGGGGGACTTCCCCTTCCCTATGGGGACGCGGATTTCTTCAATAATGTACTCATAGAGATACCACGCCCACCTCTCCCTTCTTCCCCCCCTGCACACCCCCTTCCCTTTCCCCTCCCCCGCTCGTCAACTCGACTGTGCCTACGGGGAGACATCCAAGTGACTGCAGACCCTAGCAAGCAGACCCTGCCTTCTCTTTCCCTTCTCCCCCTCCTCCTCCTTTCCCCGAACCAGCTTGACTGTGCATACGGGGGGGACATCCAAGTACCGGCCGATTTCTTCATCGACGTGCTCATAGATATGCCGCAGCCACGTGGCGGCGTGACATTGGCCGACGCCAACCCCGACGGCGCGCCAGCTGGCACGATGCTGACGTGGCAGCAGCTTCTGGCGGCGTACCGGGACGACTTTGTGGAAGCTTCCAGGAAGCAGCGGATGGCTCAAGAGAGGGAAGAGACGAGGCTGGGGAGAGCAGAGGCAGAGTGGAGTGAGCGGGAGGGAGAGGAAGGAGTGAACGGGAGAGGCAGCAGCACGTTCACATCGGATCAGCAAGAGCATTTCAAACGGGAGATTTCTCCAAGTGCTCTTGCAACGGAGGCAGTAGACGGGAGGGGCAGGGTGCCTCCGTTGCAAGAGCAACAGAGGGACCGGAGGGATGCAGTGGGGGATGGGGTGGGGGGTGAGAGGAGGAGCCTGGCTCGCAGCCTGGTGACAGAGGTGCAAGCCCACCCTCTCCTGCGCCACACAGGACAAGCAAGCCACCCGGGCATGCTGTCTGTGCTGTCCATGCCGCCCGGCGTGGCATCCATGCCGCCCGGAACGGCGTTCATGTCGCCTGAAGTGATGTCCTCTCGATACGAGTTCCCTCCCACTCCCACAACGCCTCACATGCCGCCCTCCCCCCACTCGCCCCTTCCCCACTCACCCCTCCCCCAACTTGCATCCCTTTCCGAAGATTTCAGCGTCTCCCATTCCTCCTCTGCTGCTCCTCTCTCCTCCGCAAGCCAGCCGTCACAGGAGCTCGACTCTCTAGCTGATCTCCTCATTCGCATGTCTCTGTCTACAGGCTCACGCCATAGCATGGGCGGTGGGGCCTTGAAAGGGGTTGACAGGCATGGCATGGGGCCTGGGGGGTCAAGGGGGGGCGAACGGCATAGCGTGGTGGGTGGGGGGTTAAAGGGGGGCGACAGGCACAGCAAGGGTGTGAGCTTTGAGCAAGGGGGGGAGAGGCACAGCATTGGGGGTGGGAGTGTGAAGGGGAGAGCCGTGGGTGAGGGGAGCATGGTGGGGGGTGCAGAAAGGATGGGGCAGGAAGGGAGTATGGGGGGGAAGGGGACCATGGGGTTTGCGGGGGGGATGAGGGGGGAGGGGAGCATGGGGGGTGCGGAGGGGATGGGGGAAGAGAGGCAGAGCATGGGGAATTGGGGAGTGGATGTGAGCGCTATAGGTGGGGAGGGGAGTGTGGGGAGCACGGATGGTATGGGAGGGGATTGGGAGGGCATGGGTAGTGGGGATGCGATGGGGGGAAAGTGGCAAGGCAAGGGCATGGGAAGTGAGGATGTGAGGGTAGTGAGGGAGGTGAGAGAAGCAGGAGGAGAGTGGAGAGCAGGGGCGGGTGAAGCAAAAGGGGATCACTTGAGAGCAAGTGCCACTGGTCCGGCCGGCCACATGACAAGAGGAACAGAAGCAATTGCTTCTCTACCTGAAGCGTTCTCATTATCACCCTCAACAGCAGCAGCAGCAGCAGCGGCATCAGCAGCACAAGTACCAACACTATCATCATCATCATCATCATCATCATCTAGAGGAGCAGCAGGAGCAGCAGCAGGAGCAGCAGCGGAGGCACATCCTCCACCTCCCTCCTCTCCCCCTCTCAAAACCACACCCGTTCAACCTACCCAAGCCCCCCCTCCTCACCCAACCCCTCCTCCGCCTCCCCCTCCCCCTCCCTCCGGCCGTCCCCCTCCTCCCCCTCCCCCTATCCGCCTAGCCTCAGGCAAGCTTGCTGCGCCTGGGATGGGGGGAAAGCAGGGAGAAGGGGAAGGGGGGAGGGTGGAGGGGGAAGGGGACCTTTTCCCCCCTGCCCGCCCCTTGCACTGGTCCAAAGTGACTAATGTGAAAGGGACAGTATGGGAGGAGATAGAAAGAGAGAGAGTGGTTGAAGAGGAGAGAGAAGAGACAGTAGGGGATGGGGAGAGCAAAAGCAATAGCTGTAGCAGTCTTGTATCGAAGGTGACACTACCAGATGACATGAGACGAGCCATCCGGGTGCTTTTTCAGGTAAAAGCAACAAAATCAGGTGGAAAGTCGAAGACAGGAGGAGGGGTGCAAGGAGAAGGGGGAGGACAGGGGGGGAGGAAGGGACTAGGGAAAGATGAGTTACAAGTGGTTGGTTTGGCTCGCGCTAACAACGTAGCCATCATGCTCACTCAATTCCGCATGCCCGAGAATCAAATCCGAGATCTGATCCTCGCAGGAGATCCTAAGCACGTGCTGCCACCTGACCGCCTGGGCCTGCTGCTTCAGGTGATTCCAACAGAGGAGGAGGCGGCGAGGTTCAGAGCAGTCTCAGGTGCTGCTTCAGGTGCCATGTGTGCACCTGAGCGCTTCCTTTGGTCCATATCCCTGATCCCAAGAATGAGGAGGAAAATCGAGGCGCTAATGTTTGTGCGGCATTTTCACACCATAGTCAATGATGCCCGGGCAGTCATAAAAGTTTTTTGTTCTGCAGCCCGAGCGATTCGCAGCAGCAAGATTCTCCGGGCAGCGCTTGCAGCGGCGCTTGAAGTGGGGAACGAGCTCAACCGAGGCAGCGCAAGGGGTGAGTTGTGGTGAAGCGCGGTGAGACGGGGTCGAGTGGGTTGGGAAGGGTTGGAGAGGGGTGGGATGGGAACCATAGGTCTAGTACGGGAAGCATTGGGGGAAGTGGCAAGGGTTGGGAATGGCAGGCAGGGAAAGGGAAAGTAGCGAAACTGGTGCAAAAAAAAACACCACTCATAAGCTCCTCTTATAAAAAGCCCCACATGCGACACTCTCTCATCCCCTTCTCACCCTTCCCCCCCTCCTCCATCCCCCCTGATTTCCAGGTTCAGCCCGCGGGTTCTCTCTGGATTCCCTCGCCCGCCTGTCAGAGGTGCGAGTCACTCCTCCATCCCACCGTGCCAAGGGCCTCGACACACTGTTAACCGCCTCCCAGGTGGCTTCTGAGTCGACGCAGAAGTCAAACTCCTCCCAGATTCTGCCTCCTGGCTCTCGATTCTCGCGCACACAGTCCTTCCCTGTCACTCGTGCCAATGCCCCCTCATCCACCTCCTCCTCCTCGTCCTCGTCCTCCCCCTCCCCTTCCCCGTTTTCCTCCTCTTCCTCCTCCTCCGCTCGTCCCTCCTCCCCGTTCCCCACATCCTCAACCCTCGCTGCCACCACACCCGCAGCCTCCCCTTTCCCTTCCCACCCTTCCCACCCTTCTCATCCCTCGCCCCTGATCGCCCGTGCAACAACGCTCCTCGACGTGGTGGTGATTATAACGAGGGGAAGCGACTCAACCAGCCCAGAGGGGGGAGAGGAGGGAGCAGGGGAAGTGGGGAGCAGCCTTGTGGGCAGTGCAGTCAGAAACAAGGGAGGAGAGGGGGGAGCAGGGAGGCGAGGGAAGCTGACAGTAGAGCTGGCAGCAGTGGGGGAGGCTGTTAGGATGTCCCAGGCTGAGGTGGCGGATTCCACGTCAGCACTGGACACTGGCCTGCGATTGGTGGATGAGGAGGTGCGGCTTCTGCAGCAGGAGAGAGAAGAGGCGAGGCTGGAGGAGGGGGAGGCAGAGCAGGAGGAGGAGGAAGAAGAGCGGAAGGAGAGGGAGGAGGGACAGGGGAAGGGGCACGATAGCAAGGGTGAGGTGGAGAGGCAGCGGAAGGGGAAGAGGGTAGGGGAGGGCGGGCTGATGACTGTGCTAGCAGAGTTCAGATTGAGTGCAAGGAAGGAGAGGGAGGAGCTGGCCACGGATGCTGAGGAGTGCAGGTGAGCACAATGCGCTGCTGTGGGAGTTTCATATGGCTGTTAGGAGTGTAGTATTCACTGTATAAATTGTTGTCATCCGTAGTAGTGTAGCGTACCTACATCCATCCAATTCGCAACATCCGTGTGTCAACGTCTTGGTGAACTTGGTGTGCGCATTGGCATTCTCTCTGTCCTATCTTTTCTCCCATCAGGTCAATGCTTCGACAGCTGGCATGCTACCTTGGGGAGTCAAAACCCCAACCGTCGACATCAGATGTAATACCCCTCCCTCGTTAAATTGTTCACCAACCTTCAACTCACAACCATTCCTTCAATTTTTTTTGTTGGCACTCTTTCCTTGACATCCCGACATTGAAGTTATGTTTGACATTTGCCACGGGGAGTTTTCCTGTGCAGGCGCTGTTTGCATCGCTGTGGTCGTTTGCCACTCTCTTTGATCGAGCACAAGCGGCGCTTCACATGTGACACATTCACAACCTTACCTTTGGCGACTCACTTAACCATGACTGCTGACGGCAACATGTTGGCCCTCACACGAGGAATAGATTAGAGTTCTGATCAGTGGTATGGTGGAAAGCATTTTCAGGCGTCATATAGAGTCGACATACTTGGGCTGAACTGCTGAGGCATTTTTTGGGTTGCACGGCTAAGCATCTTAAGTTTCTTCTGTCAGTATTAGTATGAGTTCAAGGCTAAACAACAGCTCAAGAACAAGCTGAAGAGTCAGGTGTTGAATATTGATTATTGAGAAAGCTTGCTTTCTGTTCTTGCCAAGGCATCGTGCTTCATTACAATTGCAGTAATTACAACATTCTCGTCCAAATAGACTATACAAGTTGCGTATACGACTAGGGTGGGTGGGTGGGGAGTGGAACTGCAAGTTCCAAATGAAGACGTGGGTGGAGGCCAAATGGCCTCCAACCCTCGCTATGTACTCGGCGAATTGTAATTCGCCGTTGCCTTGCTGCGATACAGACAGCTGCGCTTTCACAATATGCATTTTTAGAAAGTGTTACACACTTTCAAAAAAAATCATATTGAGAAAGCTTGCTTTCTGTTCTTGCCAAGGCATCGTGCTTCATTACAATTGGGTCTTCTGAGACATGTGCAGTTGGGGCCGTTGGAGACTTGTTGAGTGCGGCTGCGCCTGACGAAGTTGTCGAAGTGCAGAGAGGTGGCGTTGCGTTGGTGGCACCAACTTGGTGCCATATTGAAAGGATTAGGACCGTTGTTCGTGCGAAGTTGCTTATTCTCTTAATATGGGCGTCCCTGCTCGTAGTTGTTGGCGTCGTTGGCTCATATGAAAGGGGATATTTATGACAAATTTTCTGTTTTACATGATATGGCAATATACATTATGCAATCTATATCCATATGATACACCTCCACAACAATGTGCCGTATGTTGTAACCATATCAACCTGAACTGTCCACCTTCCATAGGGCGACGATGGGCCCTCTGGCCCCTGGCCAGCACGGGACCCTCGGTCCCCTTCCCCCCTTGGGGAACGGCCCTCTGGCCAGCACGGGACCCTCGGTCCCCTTCCCCCCTTGGGGAACAGCCCTCTGGCCAGCACGGGACCCTCGGTCCCCTTCCCCCCTTGGGGAACGGCCCTCTGGCCAGCACGGGACCCTCGGTCCCCTTCCCCCCTTTGGGAACGGCCCTCTGGCCAGCACGGGACCCTCGGTCCCCTTCCCCCTTTGGGGAACGGCCCTCTGGCCAGCACGGGACCCTCGGTCCCCTTCCCCCCTTGGGGAACGGCCCTCTGGCCAGCACGGGACCCTCGGTCCCCTTCCCCCCTTGGGGAACGGCCCTCTGGCCAGCACTGGACCCTCGGTCCCCTTCCCCCCTTGGGGAACGGCCCTCTGGCCAGCACGGGACCCTCGGTCCCCTTCCCCCCTTGGGGAACGGCCCTCTGGCCAGCACGGGACCCTCGGTCCCCTTCCCCCCTTGGGGAACGGCCCTCTGGCCAGCACGGGACCCTCGGTCCCCTTCCCCCTTTGGGGAACGGCCCTCTGGCCAGCACGGGACCCTCGGTCCCCTTCCCCCCTTGGGGAACGGCCCTCTGGCCAGCACGGGACCCTCGGTCCCCTTCCCCCCTTGGGGAACAGCCCTCTGGCCAGCACGGGACCCTCGGTCCCCTTCCCCCCTTGGGGAACGGCCCTCTGGCCAGCACGGGACCCTCGGTCCCCTTCCCCCCTTGGGGAACGGCCCTCTGGCCAGCACGGGACCATCGGTCCCCTTCCCCCCTTGGGGAACGGCCCTCTGGCCAGCACTGGACCCTCGGTTCCCTTCCCCCCTTGGGGAACGGCCCTCTGGCCAGCACGGGTCCCTCGGTCCCCTTCCCCCCTTGGGGAACGGCCCTCTGGCCAGCACGGGACCCTCGGTCCCCTTCCCCCTTTGGGGAACGGCCCTCTGGCCAGCACGGGACCCTCGGTCCCCTTCCCCCCTTGGGGAACGGCCCTCTGGCCAGCACGGGACCCTCGGTCCCCTTCCCCCCTTGGGGAACGGCCCTCTGGCCAGCACTGGACCCTCGGTCCCCTTCCCCCCTTGGGGAACGGCCCTCTGGCCAGCACGGGACCCTCGGTCCCCTTCCCCCTTTGGGGAACGGCCCTCTGGCCAGCACGGGACCCTCGGTCCCCTTCCCCCCTTGGGGAACGGCCCTCTGGCCAGCACGGGACCCTCGGTCCCCTTCCCCCCTTGGGGAACGGCCCTCTGGCCAGCACTGGACCCTCGGTCCCCTTCCCCCCTTGGGGAACGGCCCTCTGGCCAGCACGGGACCCTCGGTCCCCTTCCCCCCTTGGGGAACGGCCCTCTGGCCAGCACGGGACCCTCGGTCCCCTTCCCCCCTTGGGGAACGGCCCTCTGGCCAGCACGGGACCCTCGGTCCCCTTCCCCCTTTGGGGAACGGCCCTCTGGCCAGCACGGGACCCTCGGTCCCCTTCCCCCCTTGGGGAACGGCCCTCTGGCCAGCACGGGACCATCGGTCCCCTTCCCCCCTTGGGGAACGGCCCTCTGGCCAGCACTGGACCCTCGGTCCCCTTCCCCCCTTGGGGAACGGCCCTCTGGCCAGCACGGGACCCTCGGTCCCCTTCCCCCCTTGGGGAACGGCCCTCTGGCCAGCACGGGACCCTCGGTCCCCTTCCCCCTTTGGGGAACGGCCCTCTGGCCAGCACGGGACCCTCGGTCCCCTTCCCCCCTTGGGGAACGGCCCTCTGGCCAGCACGGGACCCTCGGTCCCCTTCCCCCCTTGGGGAACGGCCCTCTGGCCAGCACTGGACCCTCGGTCCCCTTCCCCCCTTGGGGAACGGCCCTCTGGCCAGCACGGGACCCTCGGTCCCCTTCCCCCCTTGGGGAACGGCCCTCTGGCCAGCACGGGACCCTCGGTCCCCTTCCCCCCTTGGGGAACGGCCCTCTGGCCAGCACGGGACCCTCGGTCCCCTTCCCCCCTTGGGGAACGGCCCTCTGGCCAGCACGGGACCCTCGGTCCCCTTCCCCCCTTGGGGAACGGCCCTCTGGCCAGCACGGGACCCTCGGTCCCCTTCCCCCCTTGGGGAACGGCCCTCTGGCCAGCACGGGACCCTCGGTCCCCTTCCCCCTTTGGGGAACGGCCCTCTGGCCAGCACGGGACCCTCGGTCCCCTTCCCCCCTTGGGGAACGGCCCTCTGGCCAGCACTGGACCCTCGGTCCCCTTCCCCCCTTGGGGAACGGCCCTCTGGCCAGCACGGGACCCTCGGTCCCCTTCCCCCCTTGGGGAACGGCCCTCTGGCCAGCACGGGACCCTCGGTCCCCTTCCCCCTTTGGGGAACGGCCCTCTGGCCAGCACGGGACCCTCGGTCCCCTTCCCCCCTTGGGGAACGGCCCTCTGGCCAGCACTGGACCCTCGGTCCCCTTCCCCCCTTGGGGAACGGCCCTCTGGCCAGCACTGGACCCTCGGTCCCCTTCCCCCCTTGGGGAACGGCCCTCTGGCCAGCACGGGACCCTCGGTCCCCTTCCCCCCTTGGGGAACGGCCCTCTGGCCAGCACGGGACCCTCGGTCCCCTTCCCCCCTTGGGGAACGGCCCTCTGGCCAGCACGGGACCCTCGGTCCCCTTCCCCCCTTGGGGAACGGCCCTCTGGCCAGCACGGGACCCTCGGTCCCCTTCCCCCTTTGGGGAACGGCCCTCTGGCCAGCACGGGACCCTCGGTCCCCTTCCCCCCTTGGGGAACGGCCCTCTGGCCAGCACGGGACCATCGGTCCCCTTCCCCCCTTGGGGAACGGCCCTCTGGCCAGCACTGGACCCTCGGTCCCCTTCCCCCCTTGGGGAACGGCCCTCTGGCCAGCACGGGACCCTCGGTCCCCTTCCCCCCTTGGGGAACGGCCCTCTGGCCAGCACGGGACCCTCGGTCCCCTTCCCCCTTTGGGGAACGGCCCTCTGGCCAGCACGGGACCCTCGGTCCCCTTCCCCCCTTGGGGAACGGCCCTCTGGCCAGCACTGGACCCTCGGTCCCCTTCCCCCTTTGGGGAACGGCCCTCTGGCCAGCACGGGACCCTCGGTCCCCTTCCCCCCTTGGGGAACGGCCCTCTGGCCAGCACGGGACCATCGGTCCCCTTCCCCCCTTGGGGAACGGCCCTCTGGCCAGCACTGGACCCTCGGTCCCCTTCCCCCCTTGGGGAACGGCCCTCTGGCCAGCACGGGACCCTCGGTCCCCTTCCCCCTTTGGGGAACGGCCCTCTGGCCAGCACGGGACCCTCGGTCCCCTTCCCCCCTTGGGGAACGGCCCTCTGGCCAGCACGGGACCCTCGGTCCCCTTCCCCCTTTGGGGAACGGCCCTCTGGCCAGCACGGGACCCTCGGTCCCCTTCCCCCCTTGGGGAACGGCCCTCTGGCCAGCACGGGACCATCGGTCCCCTTCCCCCCTTGGGGAACGGCCCTCTGGCCAGCACTGGACCCTCGGTCCCCTTCCCCCCTTGGGGAACGGCCCTCTGGCCAGCACGGGACCCTCGGTCCCCTTCCCCCCTTGGGGAACGGCCCTCTGGCCAGCACGGGACCCTCGGTCCCCTTCCCCCCTTGGGGAACGGCCCTCTGGCCAGCACGGGACCCTCGGTCCCCTTCCCCCCTTGGGGAACGGCCCTCTGGCCAGCACGGGACCCTCGGTCCCCTTCCCCCCTTGGGGAACGGCCCTCTGGCCAGCACGGGACCCTCGGTCCCCTTCCCCCCTTGGGGAACGGCCCTCTGGCCAGCACGGGACCCTCGGTCCCCTTCCCCCTTTGGGGAACGGCCCTCTGGCCAGCACGGGACCCTCGGTCCCCTTCCCCCCTTGGGGAACGGCCCTCTGGCCAGCACTGGACCCTCGGTCCCCTTCCCCCCTTGGGGAACGGCCCTCTGGCCAGCACGGGACCCTCGGTCCCCTTCCCCCCTTGGGGAACGGCCCTCTGGCCAGCACGGGACCCTCGGTCCCCTTCCCCCTTTGGGGAACGGCCCTCTGGCCAGCACGGGACCCTCGGTCCCCTTCCCCCCTTGGGGAACGGCCCTCTGGCCAGCACTGGACCCTCGGTCCCCTTCCCCCCTTGGGGAACGGCCCTCTGGCCAGCACTGGACCCTCGGTCCCCTTCCCCCCTTGGGGAACGGCCCTCTGGCCAGCACGGGACCCTCGGTCCCCTTCCCCCCTTGGGGAACGGCCCTCTGGCCAGCACGGGACCCTCGGTCCCCTTCCCCCTTTGGGGAACGGCCCTCTGGCCAGCACGGGACCCTCGGTCCCCTTCCCCCCTTGGGGAACGGCCCTCTGGCCAGCACGGGACCCTCGGTCCCCTTCCCCCTTTGGGGAACGGCCCTCTGGCCAGCACGGGACCCTCGGTCCCCTTCCCCCCTTGGGGAACGGCCCTCTGGCCAGCACGGGACCATCGGTCCCCTTCCCCCCTTGGGGAACGGCCCTCTGGCCAGCACTGGACCCTCGGTCCCCTTCCCCCCTTGGGGAACGGCCCTCTGGCCAGCACGGGACCCTCGGTCCCCTTCCCCCCTTGGGGAACGGCCCTCTGGCCAGCACGGGACCCTCGGTCCCCTTCCCCCCTTGGGGAACGGCCCTCTGGCCAGCACGGGACCCTCGGTCCCCTTCCCCCCTTGGGGAACGGCCCTCTGGCCAGCACGGGACCCTCGGTCCCCTTCCCCCCTTGGGGAACGGCCCTCTGGCCAGCACGGGACCCTCGGTCCCCTTCCCCCCTTGGGGAACGGCCCTCTGGCCAGCACGGGACCCTCGGTCCCCTTCCCCCTTTGGGGAACGGCCCTCTGGCCAGCACGGGACCCTCGGTCCCCTTCCCCCCTTGGGGAACGGCCCTCTGGCCAGCACTGGACCCTCGGTCCCCTTCCCCCCTTGGGGAACGGCCCTCTGGCCAGCACGGGACCCTCGGTCCCCTTCCCCCCTTGGGGAACGGCCCTCTGGCCAGCACGGGACCCTCGGTCCCCTTCCCCCTTTGGGGAACGGCCCTCTGGCCAGCACGGGACCCTCGGTCCCCTTCCCCCCTTGGGGAACGGCCCTCTGGCCAGCACTGGACCCTCGGTCCCCTTCCCCCCTTGGGGAACGGCCCTCTGGCCAGCACTGGACCCTCGGTCCCCTTCCCCCCTTGGGGAACGGCCCTCTGGCCAGCACGGGACCCTCGGTCCCCTTCCCCCCTTGGGGAACGGCCCTCTGGCCAGCACGGGACCCTCGGTCCCCTTCCCCCTTTGGGGAACGGCCCTCTGGCCAGCACGGGACCCTCGGTCCCCTTCCCCCCTTGGGGAACGGCCCTCTGGCCAGCACGGGACCCTCGGTCCCCTTCCCCCTTTGGGGAACGGCCCTCTGGCCAGCACGGGACCCTCGGTCCCCTTCCCCCCTTGGGGAACGGCCCTCTGGCCAGCACTGGACCCTCGGTCCCCTTCCCCCCTTGGGGAACGGCCCTCTGGCCAGCACTGGACCCTCGGTCCCCTTCCCCCCTTGGGGAACGGCCCTCTGGCCAGCACGGGACCCTCGGTCCCCTTCCCCCCTTGGGGAACGGCCCTCTGGCCAGCACGGGACCCTCGGTCCCCTTCCCCCCTTGGGGAACGGCCCTCTGGCCAGCACGGGACCCTCGGTCCCCTTCCCCCTTTGGGGAACGGCCCTCTGGCCAGCACGGGACCCTCGGTCCCCTTCCCCCCTTGGGGAACGGCCCTCTGGCCAGCACGGGACCATCGGTCCCCTTCCCCCCTTGGGGAACGGCCCTCTGGCCAGCACTGGACCCTCGGTCCCCTTCCCCCCTTGGGGAACGGCCCTCTGGCCAGCACGGGACCCTCGGTCCCCTTCCCCCCTTGGGGAACGGCCCTCTGGCCAGCACGGGACCCTCGGTCCCCTTCCCCCTTTGGGGAACGGCCCTCTGGCCAGCACGGGACCCTCGGTCCCCTTCCCCCCTTGGGGAACGGCCCTCTGGCCAGCACGGGACCCTCGGTCCCCTTCCCCCCTTGGGGAACGGCCCTCTGGCCAGCACTGGACCCTCGGTCCCCTTCCCCCCTTGGGGAACGGCCCTCTGGCCAGCACGGGACCCTCGGTCCCCTTCCCCCCTTGGGGAACGGCCCTCTGGCCAGCACGGGACCCTCGGTCCCCTTCCCCCCTTGGGGAACGGCCCTCTGGCCAGCACGGGACCCTCGGTCCCCTTCCCCCCTTGGGGAACGGCCCTCTGGCCAGCACGGGACCCTCGGTCCCCTTCCCCCCTTGGGGAACGGCCCTCTGGCCAGCACGGGACCCTCGGTCCCCTTCCCCCCTTGGGGAACGGCCCTCTGGCCAGCACGGGACCCTCGGTCCCCTTCCCCCTTTGGGGAACGGCCCTCTGGCCAGCACGGGACCCTCGGTCCCCTTCCCCCCTTGGGGAACGGCCCTCTGGCCAGCACTGGACCCTCGGTCCCCTTCCCCCCTTGGGGAACGGCCCTCTGGCCAGCACGGGACCCTCGGTCCCCTTCCCCCCTTGGGGAACGGCCCTCTGGCCAGCACGGGACCCTCGGTCCCCTTCCCCCTTTGGGGAACGGCCCTCTGGCCAGCACGGGACCCTCGGTCCCCTTCCCCCCTTGGGGAACGGCCCTCTGGCCAGCACTGGACCCTCGGTCCCCTTCCCCCCTTGGGGAACGGCCCTCTGGCCAGCACGGGACCCTCGGTCCCCTTCCCCCCTTGGGGAACGGCCCTCTGGCCAGCACGGGACCCTCGGTCCCCTTCCCCCTTTGGGGAACGGCCCTCTGGCCAGCACGGGACCCTCGGTCCCCTTCCCCCCTTGGGGAACGGCCCTCTGGCCAGCACGGGACCCTCGGTCCCCTTCCCCCTTTGGGGAACGGCCCTCTGGCCAGCACGGGACCCTCGGTCCCCTTCCCCCCTTGGGGAACGGCCCTCTGGCCAGCACGGGACCCTCGGTCCCCTTCCCCCCTTGGGGAACGGCCCTCTGGCCAGCACTGGACCCTCGGTCCCCTTCCCCCCTTGGGGAACGGCCCTCTGGCCAGCACGGGACCCTCGGTCCCCTTCCCCCCTTGGGGAACGGCCCTCTGGCCAGCACGGGACCCTCGGTCCCCTTCCCCCTTTGGGGAACGGCCCTCTGGCCAGCACGGGACCCTCGGTCCCCTTCCCCCCTTGGGGAACGGCCCTCTGGCCAGCACTGGACCCTCGGTCCCCTTCCCCCCTTGGGGAACGGCCCTCTGGCCAGCACGGGACCCTCGGTCCCCTTCCCCCCTTGGGGAACGGCCCTCTGGCCAGCACGGGACCCTCGGTCCCCTTCCCCCCTTGGGGAACGGCCCTCTGGCCAGCACGGGACCCTCGGTCCCCTTCCCCCCTTGGGGAACGGCCCTCTGGCCAGCACGGGACCCTCGGTCCCCTTCCCCCCTTGGGGAACGGCCCTCTGGCCAGCACGGGACCCTCGGTCCCCTTCCCCCCTTGGGGAACGGCCCTCTGGCCAGCACTGGACCCTCGGTCCCCTTCCCCCCTTGGGGAACGGCCCTCTGGCCAGCACGGGACCCTCGGTCCCCTTCCCCCCTTGGGGAACGGCCCTCTGGCCAGCACGGGACCCTCGGCCCCCTTCCCCCTTTGGGGAACGGCCCTCTGGCCAGCACGGGACCCTCGGTCCCCTTCCCCCCTTGGGGAACGGCCCTCTGGCCAGCACGGGACCCTCGGTCCCCTTCCCCCCTTGGGGAACGGCCCTCTGGCCAGCACTGGACCCTCGGTCCCCTTCCCCCCTTGGGGAACGGCCCTCTGGCCAGCACGGGACCCTCGGTCCCCTTCCCCCCTTGGGGAACGGCCCTCTGGCCAGCACGGGACCCTCGGTCCCCTTCCCCCCTTGGGGAACGGCCCTCTGGCCAGCACGGGACCCTCGGTCCCCTTCCCCCCTTGGGGAACGGCCCTCTGGCCAGCACGGGACCCTCGGTCCCCTTCCCCCCTTGGGGAACGGCCCTCTGGCCAGCACGGGACCCTCGGTCCCCTTCCCCCCTTGGGGAACGGCCCTCTGGCCAGCACTGGACCCTCGGTCCCCTTCCCCCCTTGGGGAACGGCCCTCTGGCCAGCACGGGACCCTCGGTCCCCTTCCCCCCTTGGGGAACGGCCCTCTGGCCAGCACGGGACCCTCGGTCCCCTTCCCCCCTTGGGGAACGGCCCTCTGGCCAGCACGGGACCCTCGGTCCCCTTCCCCCCTTGGGGAACGGCCCTCTGGCCAGCACGGGACCCTCGGTCCCCTTCCCCCCTTGGGGAACGGCCCTCTGGCCAGCACTGGACCCTCGGTCCCCTTCCCCCCTTGGGGAACGGCCCTCTGGCCAGCACGGGACCCTCGGTCCCCTTCCCCCCTTGGGGAACGGCCCTCTGGCCAGCACGGGACCCTCGGCCCCCTTCCTCAAGTGAAGGACCATGCGCGGGTGCACCAAGAGTTGATGTAGCCTTCGTTGCCCCAAATTGTTATGCTTGGCCTCCTGCCAATAATTATGCCTTGCACCAGGAAAATTTGAAGGCTGAGGAATTATTGAATAAAAGATTTATCGAATGAACGGGAAGAGAATCCAAATTGCAACAAAAACCAAGTTAGCTTGAGATGGTAGAAAGAGTTAGTTGCGTGGCAATGCTGGTGTCGAACCAGTTGATGCAGGATCACAAGCGGGTCTCTGGCGATTGCGTCAGTCGCGCCCTGGCGATCGCGTCAGTCGCGCCCTGGCGATTGCGTCAGCCGCGCCCCTGGTGGTTGCGTCAGTCGCTCGAGCCCATGGCGATTGCGTCAGCAGCGAGTCTGACGCTTGCGTCAGTCGCGCGACTGACGATGGTGCCGCCAGGTGCGCCAGGGGCGAGTTCGCCTTAGGCTCGCTAGTGCCGGGTTCGCCCTGGGTCGCGCCCTCATTTGGTGCGGGTTTGGCGCCGATTTCTTGCCCGCGGGTGTAGTCGCAACTCTCGCCGTCGACGTGAAATCGCGTGGCTTAAACGTGATAAATAACTAAAAACAACTTATCAGAAATTAGTGCCTACTATGCGAGGTTCTAGTGTCAACAGAAATCGAGAGAGAAATGTCACCTGAGTAGTTGGACGAGAGTGGAGTGGAACTGCAAGTTCCAAATGAAGACGTGGGTGGAGGCCAAATGGCCTCCAACCCTCGCTATGTACTCGGCGAATTGTAATTCGCCGTTGCCTTGCTGCGATACAGACAGCTGCGCTTTCACAATACGCATTTTTAGAAAGTGTTACACACTTTCAAAAAATTTCATGTTTACTCTGTTAGGGTTGTACGTGTTTCAGTCCAGGCGTTTGTAGCTTCCGAACATCTCGTGACGAATATCGTCTTGGTCTGGGGTTATAACGAGCTCAGACGAACCTAATCTGAACCCTAGGCTAGGCTGGTTGAAGGGCTGGGCTATTGAGGGCTCACCGAGCCGAGCTGCCTGGTTTGTCTGGCTTGTTTGTACGCATCCCCAATCACCGAGGGGGACGAAGCTTCGGTTCCTAGCCAAACTGTGGACAGCGAACCGCTATAACCCTGGGCGCGACTCGATTCACCCACGAGGGAGTCAGAAGAATGCCAGCCAGGGCTGGGCCACGGAACTTTGACATTTCTCGCCCTCATTTGCACGATACCGTAAATGCGCAAGAGCAAGGGCATTGCAAACAGACCAATTTGAAGCCAACTCCAATTCCAACTCGGCCACCCAACTCGGCTCAACAATCTCACTTCAACCATCCTCGACCTCACAAGACGTCAAGCAATGGCTATCGTCAACGATTGTTCACGGAATTCGAAGTCGACGCAACAGATCGCATCAGACGGGGACATTGAATCGGGAAACTCCGCTTTCTCAGCTCCAGACGCCTCGCTTCCCGTTTCCTCGTCCCCTCCTCAAAAGCCGCTTCCCTTATTTTGCTGCGCGCCTGTGCTTGCGAGGAACGCAGTTTCCGCAAGTGACAGCGCCGATGAGGAAAATCCAGGAGAGTTCACCGCGGTCTACCCTTCCGACTTGCACATCGTCCACCCTATTAAAGAAGTAACCAGCACTGCAGACGAAGAAGAGAACCTTCGCAAGCACGAGAAGGATCGCGAAAGGCGTCGCCACCGGACATGCTGCTGCCGCATCGCATGCTGGTCACTCATCGTCCTCGCCGTCGTTATCGTAGGATTAGGCGTCGCAGGGCTTGTCGCATACCTGACAGTCTCGAAGCAACAACCAGAGGTGAAGGTCGAGCAAATCAACATCATCCGCGTCGGCATCAAAAAATCCGGCGGCGGGTTCCTGGGCCTCGAAAACTTTCGCCTTGGCCTATCCGCGTTAATAAACGTCACCACGCTCGTGTATAATCCCAACAAATGGGAAGTGGAAGTGGAAAACATCAGCGTGGACGTAAAATTCTTCGACATGAATATTACAAATGTGACCGTCCCTGGCGTCGTGGGTATGAGCAAGGGTGGGAGCGCGGAGTTGACTGTCCCCCTTGATATTGTCGACGCGCCCCTGGCGACGCAGAGTCCCGCGAGCCTGCTGACGACGCCGCTGCTGCATGGGCGCGCGGAAATGCGGGTGGTGGTTGGCACTGCAGCACGTGTGAAATACAGGGGCATCTCGTCGCCGCGCGTTATGGTGCATGTGGAATGCACGATGCAGCTGGACCCGTTTTCCGCTAAGAAGTACAACGAGCAGTGTACACCCAGCATCTCATTGTGAACGGGGCATCAGCAGCAGAGGTTTAGGATCATTATCATACTTCCTCTTAGGTGTTAATCATAGGCTCATTGTTCATACTTCTTAGGCATTTGCTTGCCTTTTCTGGGCATATTCCTCACTTTGTGTCAGGCCCTGGCAGAAGGGTTTTACACAAATGTAGGAATGCGCCTTCTTTGTTTTGTAATTGGTGTTTGATTCTAATCATAACATAGCTTCCAGTATACGCAACGGCAGGAGGACCATACCTTAGCACAGAATACGGTGCTCGGGAGGAGGGAGTGACGAGAAGCAGGTGGGCTTAGTGGGGAGCAGAGTTCAGGAACAGGGGCTGTCTGGGAGTTGCATTTGGGGGCCTACCAACAAAGGGAAGAACATTACAAGTACCGTAAGATAAGCATGATAGACGTCCTGTTTGGCTGGCGAGGGGTGTGCTGGAGCACGGGTCCTTGTAGGGTTACTTACCACATGGCAAAGATTCCTTGGCCTGAACGCGCACATCACATCACATCACATTGGCAAGCACAATAGCAGGCCTCTGCCAGGGGATCTTTTGCAAAAACAGAGCCGCTCTGTGCGTTCAATGGCGAAGAGCTACTTCTCTCTAAACAAAACATAACTTCTAAACCTGGACAAAACTGAATAAAGCTACATCTGACTCGCTCTTGGGGTTGAGCAGACACGTATTGAGCTCCTGCTGCAGCAGCTATCAAGAGACATCCTCCCCCTACCTGCTCTACAAGCTGTTAAAACTACTTACCGTGGCCCACCAATGTCTCAAGCAGCGTCCGAGTCACTCTGGGAATTCAACAGACGCAGAATTAGTTCCTGCTGCAGCAGCAGCTGCTGGTGCAATGCGCTCGCTTGCTCAATTGCTCTCATATCCTGCTGCACCACCTGCTTCTGCAGCCGCCTCACAGCCCTCCTCTGCAGCTGCACCTCCCCCTTGAGCACTTCTAGCCCCTCCGCTGTCATTGCAGCGTCTCTAGAAACCCTAGTGAGCGTGTCCTTGAGTTTCCTGTGCTCCTCCTCCTCCTCCTGCTGCTGCTGCTGCTCCTGCTCCCTCAGTGGTGCGACTGGGGGGCCCATCCCGTCGAGAACCTCCCCAAACTGCGCCAGGATCACGTTAGCTATGGGCCGAACCTCAATGGTAGGCTCGGGATCGGCCTGAAGGGGAGTGGGAGGAGGGAGTCAGAGAGGGAAGAGGTGAGGAAGTGGGTGTGGTTACGGTGTCTACTGATTACCTTATCAGCAAGCCGACCTGTTTTCTGGGCCGAATAAGCTCAACCAGCCAACCTACCTGTCATTTTAGCCGGAGTGAATCCAATTCAACCAGCCAGCCCACCTGGCGCTTGAAGCTGAAGCCTCCTTGCATGGAGTCAATGCCAGGGGGCCTGTTGGCAGCACAGCGCTCCAGCACCCCAAGCAGGAGAAGTGAAGAGATGTGAAGAGCAGAGAGTGACAGTGGGAGGGAGTGGGAGCAAGCAACCATCCAGCCCACCTGTCGTTTGAAGCTGAAGCCTCCGCCCCGCACGGAGTCACTGCGAGGGGGTCTGTTGGCAGCACAGCGCTCCAGCACCCCAAGCAGGGCGGCGGCATTCAGGCACCGCTTGCCTCGCATGCTCGTGCCTTTGGGAGTGGGAGCAAGCAACCAGGCAGCCCACCTGTCGTTTGAAGCTGAAGCCTCCGCCCCGCACGGAGTCACTGCGAGGGGGTCTGTTGGCAGCACAGCGCTCCAGCACCCCCAGCAGCGCGTCGGCATTCAGGCACCGCTTGCCCACCCGCAGCACTCTGCGCCGTCGCGCCTTGCTTCGCCCGAGGCCTCTGCAGCAGCGCCTGACTCGATTCCAGCCCTCCTTGAGCGCTGCCACTGACTTGGCCACCACCGAATCCTCCAGCTGTGAGAGAGGAGAGAGGGAGGGAGGGAGGGAGGGAGGGGGAGGGAGGAACGGAGGGAAAATAGGAAAAGGGCAGCAGCGGCTGATTTGCCTGAAGCTCTTTTTGAGGGCTGATTTGCCGAGGCCATTATCGAATCCTCCAGCTGTGGGGGGAGGAGGAAGGGAGGAGAAAGAGCAGGAGGGAGAGGGGAATGGAGGGAGGAGGAGGGAGGGAGGGGAAGGAAGGGAGGAAGGGAGGGAAAGGGAGCAGCGGTTGTATTTTCTGAAGCCTCCTTTGAAGGGGCTGCAACTGACTTGGCCACTACTACATTCTCCAGCTGGGAAGGAGGAGAGAGGGAGGGAGTAAGAGGGGAAGGGAGGGAAAGAGGGACAGGATGAAATGGCAGCAGCGGTTGTATCGCCTGAAGATGCTTTTGCGGAATGCCATGGACTTGGTCATTTACAAAGTCGATCCACAGGCCTTATATTTGCGGTTCTCTTCATGGTATCAGAGCACCATGCAAGCATATATCTCTTGAGTCCAGTCAGAAATCTCACCATCCACACCAACAACTACTCTGTTCTCGCTTCAACTCCCACCACCACACAGTCGCCCTCAAGCGCCTTTTGAGACGTCTTCAAGTCCCACCGAACAAAGACAAGTCTAGCTTACTCTCACCACTACACAGTCAGCCTCAGCACCCAATGCAAGGAGGCGGCCTGTGAGTCCACTCTCCCATTGCAGAGCAGTGCAGACACCACCACTCCAGAGACTGTGCTATTCCCGCGGCTGCAGAATAACCCTCCGCTCCGCACCCATCCACCGCAAGCATATGCTTGCCTTGAGAGTTGACTCATACAAGAGCAGAGGCTGTCCTGTCCCCATTGCACACCACCGCACCGCACCACAGGCTATCCCGTTCTCACCGCTACATATCTGTCCTCTTCCCCCAGCATAAGCAGGTGGCGCTGCAGCTTTCCCGGCTTCCAGTAGTCCGTTGAGAGGCGGCGCAGCACAGCACGTGTGTGCGTTGTGAGTCCACCAAAGAAAGAAAGACGAGTGTATCCTGCTCTCACCGTAACATCAACGTCCTCTGCGCCCAGCATGAGCAGGTGGCGCTGCAGCCTTCCCAGTTTCCAGTAGTCTGTTGAGAGGCGCAGCAGCACGTTGCGTAGCACAAACCACATGTCCACCGGGAACGCTGGTGACTCCTCCGTGGATTTCTGCGTGGGGGGAAGGGGGGAGGGGAAAAGGGAGGAAGGGAGAGAATAGAGGAGGAAGGAAGGGACAGCAGCACGATGCACAGCACAAACCACATGTCCACCAGAAGGCTGGCGACTCCTCCGTGGATTTCCGGGTGGACGGGAGGGATGGAGATGAAATGACATGCCATATGGGGCTTGTGATTGCATTGAATGCATCTTAGGGCACACTTGCACACACCCGGACTTTCAGGAAAGGGTCGACAACAATAGCAATGAGCACATTGAGCATCGGGAAGAGCATCACAAAGAGCATCACAAAGAGCATCACAAAGAGCATCACAAAGAGCATCACAAAGAGCATCACAAAGAGCATCACAAAGAGCATCACAAAGAGCATCACAAAGAGCATCACAAAGAGCATCACAAAGAGCATCACAAAGAGCATCACAAAGAGCATCACAAAGAGCATCACAAAGAGCATCACAAAGAGCATCACAAAGAGCATCACAAAGAGCATCACAAAGAGCATCACAAAGAGCATCACAAAGAGCATCACAAAGAGCATCACAAAGAGCATCACAAAGAGCATCACAAAGAGCATCACAAAGAGCATCACAAAGAGCATCACAAAGAGCATCACAAAGAGCATCACAAAGAGCATCACAAAGAGCATCACAAAGAGCATCACAAAGAGCATCACAAAGAGCATCACAAAGAGCATCACAAAGAGCATCACAAAGAGCATCACAAAGAGCATCACAAAGAGCATCACAAAGAGCATCACAAAGAGCATCACAAAGAGCATCACAAAGAGCATCACAAAGAGCACCACAAAGAGCATCACAAAGAGCACCGGGAAGAGAATCACGCTGATGTAGGTGATCCATGTCCAGGAGATGCGATGCGATGATGGCAACTGTGAGTGAGTGAGGTGCCAGGCATGCACCCCTCAAGTCAAACACGTACCCGTACTTCCAGGAACGCGTCGACGACAATGGCGATGAGCACGTTGAGCATGACAAACACCATGACGCTGATGTAGGCGATTCAGAAGATGAGATGATGGCAGCTGTGAGTGAGGTGGCAGGCATGCACGCACCGTCTGACTTGCTGCTGTGATGACACGTACCCGGACTTCCAAAAAGGCGTCAACCACGATAGCGATGAGCACGTTGAGCATGACGAACACCATGACGCTGATGTAGGCCACCCAGAAGATGATGGCTGCCGTGAGTGAGAGAGGTGACATGTATGCACCGTATGACTCTCTGCTGTGATAGTACGTACCCTGACTTCCAAGAACGCATCCACCACGATGGCGATGAGCACGTTGAGCATGACAAACACCATCACGCTGATGTAGGCCACCCAGAAGATGATGGCTGCTGTGAGGTTCCACCCCTCCAGCTGAATGAAATAGTATCCGGTGCTGTTGTCGTTGATGAGAATGAGGAAGCAGGATACCATCGACATGGCCACTGTGCTGAACTGTGGGCGGGGAAAGGGAGGAGGGGGGGGGGGGGGGGGGGTGGGGTGGAAGAGGGAGTGGAGGCAATGAGGTTCCACCCGTCCAGCTGTATGAAATAGTATCCGGTGCTGTTGTCGTTGATTAGGATGAGGAAGCAGGATACCATCGACATGGCCACTGTGCTGAACTGTAAGCGGGGAGAGAAGGGGGGGGTGGGGGGAGAATGGGTTGGTTTTCGATATAAGACGAGGAGTACCCAGAGCTCCGTGAGGTTCCACCCCTCCAGCTGAATGAAATAGTATCCCGTGCTGTTGTCGTTTTTGAGGATGAGGACATGGCCACCCTGCTGAAGTAGTTTTAGAGGGAGAAGGTGATCAAAAGTATCCAATGGTACTGTTGAGACGTCTCAACAGGTAGGGAAGGACTTTTGAGGCGCCTCAAAAGACGTCTCAAAAGGTAGGGAAGGAGGAAGAAATGCACGAGGGCGGGGAAAGAACTCCCACACACCTGCTACACTGCACCTGCCAACCCAATGGTACCGGATGGCAGCACCCTACGCCCAGCACAGCGCCGTACCTGCTCTAGCGTGCGGCCGAAGACCACGTAGGCGTAGAGAGAGAAGCCGAAGAACATGATGGCCCAGAGCAGGAAGAAATGCACGAGGGCGGGGAAGGCTGCTCACCCACCTGCTGCATTGCACCTGCCAACCCAATAGTACCACTCCGCACCACACCCTGCCCAGCACCACACTCAACAGCACAAGCGTACCTGCTCTAGCGTTCGCCCAAACACCACATAGGCGTAAAGAGAGAAGCCGGTGAACATGATGGCCCAGAGCAGGAAGAAATGCACGAGGGCGGGGAAGGCTGCTGCCATGGTTCGTGTGAGGATGGCGATGCGCGGCTGGAAGTCCATGAGCTTGAGCAGACGCAGCAGGAAGAGGAAGACGCTGGGTTGGGAGGGGGGGATTGTATGGGAGAAAGGGGGCGAGCGAAAGCATGGCAGGAGGTGAGAGGATGGCAATGCATGGCAGGAGGTGAGAGGATGGCAATGCATGGCAGGAGGTGAGAGGATGGCAATGCATGGCTGGAGGTGAGAGGATGGCAATGCATGGCTGGAGGTGAGAGGATGGCAATGCATGGCTGGAGGTGAGAGGATGGCAATGCATGGCTGGAAATCCATGAGGTTCAGCGGCGTAGCAGGAAGAGGAAGACGGTAGGGAGGGGGGGGGTGGAGGCGTGCCAGGGAGGATTGAACGGGAGAAAAGGGAGCGGCGAAAGGCAGCAGGAGGTCAAACTTCAAAGGTTGTCAAGAGGTGGCTGGAGAATATCCCATGACTTCAGTAGGTGCAGGAGAAGAGGACGAAGATGAAGGATGAGGGAATGTGCGTTGGGTTTAAAAATCGAGACGATTCGTACGCCTCCTTCACATTCACTTGATGCCCTGCAGCGACATGGGGATGGGGCGCCACTGCACGAGGTTCCTCTATCTGTGCCTCACTGACACTCACTTGATTCTGTGCGGCGCTCACTTGATTCCCTGCAGTTTCCTATAAGTGCTCTCTTAGAGCCCTGCAGCCACTCACTTGATGCCCTGCAGCCACTCACTTGATGCCCTGCAGCCACTCACTTGATGCCCTGCAGCCACTCACTTGATGCCCTGCAGCCACTCACTTGATGCCCTGCAGCGACACGAGGATGGAGCGCCATTGCACGAGGTTGCGAATAGAGTCGTACACTGCCTGCGCCTGCTCGTAGCCCACCGGGGGGTACTGCAGCTGTTGGTGGGGGAAGGGTAGAGCAGGGGAGTGGGGTTGGGGGTGGTGGTGGAGGGGGAAGGGTAGAGCAGGGGAGTGGGGTTGGGGGTGGTGGTGGAGGGGGAAGGGTAGAGCAGGGGAGTGGGGTTGGGGGTGGTGGTGGAGGGGGAAGAGTAGAGCAGGGGAGTGGGGTTGGGGGTGGTGGTGGAGGGGGAAGGGTAGAGCAGGGGAGTGGGGTTGGGGGTGGTGGTGGAGGGGGAAGGGTAGAGCAGGGGAGTGGGGTTGGGGGTGGTGGTGGAGGGGGAAGGGTAGAGCAGGGGAGTGGGGTTGGGGGTGGTGGTGGAGGGGGAAGGGTAGAGCAGGGGAGTGGGGTTGGGGGTGGTGGTGGAGGGGGAAGGGTAGAGCAGGGGAGTGGGGTTGGGGGTGGTGGTGGAGGGGGAAGGGACTTGCAGGTATGCACAGGACGGAGTTGCAAACCCAGCCGTGTACTGCCTGCGCCTGCTCGTAGCCCACTAGGGGTACTGCAGCTGTTGGGGGGAGCGAGAGGAGAAATAGGGAAGAGATGTGCCAGGAGACCAGGATGGGATGGGACCACTGAGTTGTGCACCGCCTCTTTCCTGCTCGTAGCCCACACGCAGGAGGGTGCTGCAGTAGTTGAGGAGTCGACGGGTGGAGGAGAAAGGGGAAAAGGAGGAGGGATACGCGGGGTTAGCAAGACAGACAAGGATGGGAAGAGGCACGTGGTGAGGCAACGACTCGCGCGGCAAGGCCAACGCCCGTGGCGAGACAAGGAAGGGCCCACCCAGCAAGGCAAGGCTAAGGTCTTTGTATCCAAGCACTCACCCGGCGGACGAAGGGGGGATCCGCTTTGACGTGGATGTCGTAGCGCGGCTGCACCTGGAAGGCACCCGCCAGCTACTTCAAGAGTGATAAGCATGCATGCTTACAACCCAGCAAGGCATGAGGCATGCTTACTCGCCAGACAAAGGGCGAGTCCCCCGTGATGTGGATGTCGTAGCGCGGCTGCACTGCACCTGGAAGGAGCCGGCCAGGCGCTTTGAGAATGTGGGACTGGGAATGCGCGTGGCCCAGTCAGAATGTGGGACTGAGCGGCAACAACCCAGTCAGCAAAGGCCCCGCTGCATGAAAGGGCTTACTCGCCAGACAAAAGGCGAGTCCCCCGTGACGTAGATGTCATAGCGAGGCTGTACCTGGAAGCCACCGGCCATCTGCACTGATATGATGAACCTGCACGGGGGAAGGGGTACGTGGGGGTTAAGAGCGGTGGCATGCGGTGGAGGTGAGGGGGAGATGAGATGCTTTGAGACAACTAAGAAAGCATTTGGAAAGAGCCGGCCAGTTGCACTGACTTTTGAGGCGCCTCAAAAGTCGTCTCTCTACCAAAAGTTGTTCACTTTCTCTCCCCTTGCGATGTGTCACCACATGATGATGCCGATGAATTGGATGGCGAGAGAGAGCTCATCCAGCCACAACTCGACCTGCCACGTACCACTCCGCTCACCACTCTACTCACCACACCACTTACTCACCACTTGCGCACCACTCCACTCACCACTTGCGCACCACTCCACTCACCACATGATGATGCCGATGAACTGGATGGTGAGAGAGAGCACATCCAGCCAGTTCCACAGCGTTTGGAAGTACGATGTGATCTGAGGGGATGGGGGGAAGGGAAGTGGAGGGGAGGGGAGGGAGAGAACGCAAGGTTGCGTAAGGGAGAAGGAATGGCATTTGAGGCGAGGAAAGGCTGGCATCAAATCACAGAAGCAGCACCCAGCTCACTCTCCCGGTCTCAAGCCATCAGAGGAGCACAACTTAGCTCACTCACTCACCCTGCCTGTCTCCAGCCAGCACTGAAACGCCTCGACGAGCTCCTCTATGAGGTTCCACACCACGGCGCACACATACAGCACCGTCACTGTCAGCCGCACCCAGTCGGCACTGGAGGAGTAGAGCTCCACGTCTACCGGATCCACGTTGTACGTGACTGCGATCTTGCCCCCGATCTGTGGGGAGGGGGATGAGGGTGGGTCTATGTTTAAGGTGCCTCAAGTTCACACAGTCGCCGGTCGGCACTGGAGGAATAGAACCCTCCACGTCTACTGGGTCCACATTGTACGTCACTGCTATCTTGCCCCCGATCCGTGAGGAGAGGGGGGGGAGAGGGCGATGGAGAGGGGAAGGGGCCTCAACAATGGACCACGGCGCACACATACAGCACCATCACAGTCAGCCGCACAGTCGGCACTGGAGGAGTAGAGCTCCACGTCTACCGGATCCACATTGTATGTCACCGCTATCTTGCCGCTGATCTGTGGGGAGAGGCAGGGAGAGAGAGAATACTTTCAGGCTGATTCAGCAGTCACCTCAGGACACAAGAAGAGGGAGGAGGGTGTATGTCACTGCGATCTCACCCCAAAGGAGAGGGTGAGTTCCAGGTGTCGATCCAACAGGAATGCAGGTAGGAGAAAGTGGATTTCTGTTAGCACTACATTCCGCAGCCCTCTACAAAACCACTCCACACCCTAAAACTGCGTATGAACTTCAATGCTTAGAACGACGCAGTTTGATTAAGGCTGTGGAGTGGTACCCGCAAGCAACCCTCTAAGAACTTCAATGTTTAATGCCATTGTTGTGTAAAATTGGGCCGCACACCCCCTGAACGGGTGTTATAACAGTGCGGGATGGCGCAACAAGGGGCTGTACATGGGACAAGTGCGGAGCAGCTGTGAACTGACCTCAAAGTTGAGTTTCACGGTGGTGTACACAAACAGACTGGAGTCGCCTGTGGTGGGTGGGTGGAGGGTGTAACAGGGGGTATTACAAGAGAAGGAAAAACTTATAAGTCGATGCAAGAGGTGTCGTGCCAGGGAAGGAAACACATGAGCCGATCAAAATGACATTCTAAGGGGAAGCAAAAGCAAGGCACAAAGAGCGAGCAGAATGTGCAGGATCAGGAGGAAATGGGAGAAAAGGGAGAAAGAGAGCAAAGACAATGCTATCATTGCAAGGCAAGGATCATGAGCACACGCACGCACTGTTGTAGGTGAGCATGGCGACGGAGCATGCCTTTTGAGACGTCTCAAAAGTGAGCATGGCGACGGAGCATGCCTTTTGAGACGTCTCAAAAGTGAGCATGGCGACGGAGCATGCCTTTTGAGACGTCTCAAAAGTGAGCATGGCGACGGAGCATGCCACCACCGCTGTTGTGTGCGCTGGGCCTGAGCCCATGTTTGAGGTGCCTCAAAAGGTAGCTATCTTCACAGCACAACACACCCCACAGACTCACGCACCGTTGTAGGTGAGCATGGCAACAGACACGGACTGCGTGGTATTGTCGATGAAGAAGCTGTCCGCCAGATACTGCATGCGCCGCTGACAGGTGGGCATGGCACGGCACCCTAACCTAAACACACCCACTCCACTCCATGCCATGACGCACCGTTGTAGGTGAGCATGGCGACGGAGACGTACTGCATGGCATTGTCGATAAAGAAGCTGTCCGCCAGATACTGCAGGCGCCACTGCTGTGGTGTGCTGTGAGGCTATTGTGGTGCGCTGAGCATGCCATGCCATCAATAGAGTGTGAGCATGGCACGGCGCCCTGAAACACACACCATTGTAGGTGAGCATGGCAACGGAGACGGACTGCGTGGCATTGTCGATAAAGAAGCTGTCTGCCAGATACTGCAGGCGCTGCGTGGCCGCCTCGTTGTCTAAGTTGATGTCGAATATCACCGGGAATACCTTCTCGTTCGCCTGGCACCAGTGGGGATGGGGGGGAAAGGGGGTGGGGAAGGGGGAGGGGGGATGAGAGCCCTAGTCATTGCCGCATGGCCGCCTCGTTGTCCAGGTTGATGTCGAATATCACGGGGAACACCGTCTCGTTCGCCTGGTGGGCGGGAGGGAGAGGGGGAAGGGGATGGGAGAGGGGTTGGGAGGGGTTATCATTGCACATGGCTGCCTCGTTGCCCAGACTGATGTGGAATATCACCGGGAACAACTTCTCGTTCGCCTGGCAAGAAAGAGGGAGGGAGGGAAGGAGGGTGGGGACGGGCAACGGGCTATTATTGCGCGTGCATGGGCCCTTTGTTGATTAAATTAAATTGATGGCAGATATCATCAGATATCATGATTGCTTGGTGCCATGACCACGCTCTTGCCAGGCTGGCGAGAAGAGGCTGGCGAGAAGAGGCACTCACCTTGGCGACTTGGAAGCCATATGGCACGCCGTCAGGCCGCGTCGCGATTGGCTGCATGGTGTCCACGTCAGCGCTGGTTAACGAGTCGTTGAGCGCCACGTAGGCGTCAGGGAGGTAGAGCGAGGAGGAGGGCAGGAAGTGTGGGTTGACGCCAAAGGGAGCTGTGGATATGCCGTTCATACAGTTTTGGAAGAGGGAGGAGAACCTGGGGGATGGGTGGGAGGGAGAGGAGGGGGAGAGAGAGGCTGGGAGGTTGCTTGGTGAACGGTTGGGAGCGCAGTGGACATGCCGTTCATGCAGTGCTGCACGTTAGAAGTGGACCTTGGGGGTGGAGTGGGAGCGTGGAAGGGGGAAGAGAGGGGGTTGGGCGTGTTGAGAGGGAGAGTCCTCTGAACACGTTGTTAATGCTGTTGATGCAGTGGTGAACATGCTGTTGATGCAGAGGTGAACATGCTGTTGATGCAGAGGTGAACATGCTGTTGATGCAGTGGTGAACATGCTGTTGATGCAGTGGTGAACATGCTGTGGTGGAAGAGGGATGAGAACCGGGGTGGAGGGGAGGAAGCAGAGAATGAAGATTTGAGGCGTCTTAAAGCAAGAAAGTGGAAGTGAGGGGAATTAAGGATGGAGAGGAGAGAAGCACGGGGAGGGAGGGGGGGGTGATGGTTAACATGCTGACCTTGATGGTGGACATGCTGACCTGGATAGGTGTCCAGCTGACCTGTATGGCTGGCAGGTTACGGCGTCCCACCGGGTCTGCTCGATTTTCAGTCCTATCAGCACCCTGCCATGCACAATTATGCCATGCACCACATGCCATGCACAATGCACCATGTGCCGTGCACCACGACATGAATGCCCCATGGAAGCAGACTCGACTTCAGTTAGTAGATAGAAAGCAATAAAAAAACCCGGTCCTGCCTCTAGCTGTACCCAGTCATCTGGCCAGGGCTACCCTACAGGAACAGCTAGTTATCCTATACTTTTTTCATACCCTCTCTTCTCTGTCCATCCATCTCACACCTCCTGAACACCTAACCTCCCCCTCTCCCCTCCCCTTCTCCATTCCTCCTCTCTCAGCCTCCCCCTTCCTCACCTGCTCTGGTCCGCCACTAGGTACAGCGCCACCTCCTTTTAAAGCCAGGATCTCAAGTACTTCATTTGTTTTGCAGTTGGTGAATAGTGCTAGGCTGGGATTGGATGGCGAGCTGCAGAAGTTGTCAAGGAGTGAAGCGAGGGGTGCGAGGAAAAAACAAGTCGCAGGTTGTTTCCGAACCATCTAGGCACGGAAACTGGTTCGGGGCCGAAGCTAAAGTACCAGCGAATGTTTCAGATTCCCGAAATTCTCAAGTCCCCAGCAATTTGTTTTGCAATTGATGAAGGGGCAAAACGGGGAATGTGTCGCACAGTCAACCCCAAACCCGTCACTCCACTTCGCCCACTCAAACAGGGTGACCCTAGCGTCAATTGTTTTGCAGTTGATGCCAAATTCTCTTACTTGAGATCCTGGCTTTAAGAATTTCAAGAGTGGTGCAAGCATACCCCTCTCCCCTCCCCCTCTCCCCCCCTTTCCCCCCACCCCACCTGTTCTGTTCCGCCACGAAGCGAGACAGCGCCACCTCCTCCGTGCCGTTTGCTGACGACGCATTGCCCGCCGCCGCGGCACCAGGCGCAGCTGCTGACGTGGCATTACCAGCCGACGCGGCTGCTGACGTGGCATTGCCAGCAGACATGGCTGCTGACGTGGCATTTGAGAACATGTCAAGGGTGAAGGGGAAGGAGAGGCCATCCCCTATGGCTGACGTCATGCAGCATGCTGGGTGGAGGGGGGCCATGCAATCGAGGTAAGTGGAGAGGGAGAGGGGGGAAAGTGGAAGGAGGGTGAGGAATGAGTCTGGTGCCGAAAAAGGGTGCAAAAGTTGGTGGCAGAAAGCGGGGATCGGAAAGCGGGGATTGGAAAGCGGGTGTTGGGTCGGAAACTGGGAGATGAAAAGGTCACTGCTGCTCACCATCTGGCTGACCAAGTGGCTATTCATGTGTTGCCTCAATACTTTCCAATTTCCACCATCTTCCCATCTTTCCCCACCACCCATCCCTTCCCACTGCCCATCCGTACCCACCACCCATCACCACCAGCCGCCCTATCACTCACCTCCTTCATCCGACCAAGCCTGTCCGTGAGGACAGACAGGGGTAGTACTGCGGGCAGAGAAGACCACTTGTGAGGCGCCTCAAAACCCCCCACCAGCCTACCACCACTCACCGCCCATCTTCCCCCCACCGCCCATCACCATCCAAGACCCTATCACTAACCTCCTTCGTCCGACCGAACCTGTCCCGGAGGACAGGGACAGTACTGCGGCCGGGCCACGAATCCCACCGGACCTAACCCTGAGCCTGGCACCGAGCCTAAAGCTACGGGTGCAGGCTCGGGAACGGACGTGGCCGGCAGGGCGCATGAGCAGTCCCCGCCGTCAAAAGCACACGCGTCAACGTTGCAGGGTGGGTTGCATTTTCCGTCTGCTAGCGAGGAGAGGAGGCAGCCTGGCGAGCACTCTATTGGCTTGTTGGATTGACCAATGGCGGCGCGGGTACGAGAGGAGGAGGAGGAAGGCGAAGAGGCAGAGGAGGAGGAAGAGGGAGGGAGAACGGTGACAGAGCCCCGTGTAGGCTCCCCCACGCGTGAACACTCATAGACGAAGGTCCCCGGCACAGGGAAGACCGTGGTGTAGGAGAAGGGGATGGGGGGGGACGAGGCAGCAGCGCTGGTGGTGGGACCTGCGATGATAGTAGGGAGAACAGTGTGAGAGTGAGCGGGGAAGGAGGGGGTGAGGAAGTAGGCAGGTGAAGGAGTTGAAATTGCAAGTGGCCATGCAGAGAAGAGTGAGTTGAGGGAGGCGGGATGATGGATGGAGCCTTGAGTGAGAGAACAAGGGGTTTGAATGTGTGGGTTCAACCTGTGATCACAGGGGTCACAGGGGTGGCACGCGAGCATGGTGGCACGCGAGCATGGTGGCACGCGAGCATGGTGGCACGCGAGCATGGTGGCACGCGAGCATGGTGGCACGGAAGCATGGTGGCACGCGAGCATGGGGGCACGCGAGCATGGGGGCACTGGAGCACAGGGGCATGGAAGCATGGTGGCACGGGAGCACAGGGGCACGGAAGCATGGTGGCACTGGAGCACAGGGGCACGGAAGCATGGTGGCACGGGAGCACAGGGGCACGGAAGCATGGTGGCACTGGAGCACAGGGGCACGGAAGCATGGTGGCACAGGAGCATAGGGGCACGGGAGCACGGGAAAACGAATACACAGGTCCCCCAACCCACTCACTCAGGACACAGGGCGCAGGATCAGCGGTGGACGCGTGTGAGCCGTTGATGAGTGTCGCTGTGGTCCCCACGTTCTCCGCACTGCATGCCACATCAGCACTCACCACCAACCGGCCGCTGCCCATGCCATAGAAAGGAGTAGCCGCTGCGTCTCCGAATCCCGCCACTGAAAGTGCGGGATGGGGGAAGGGGGGATGGACCATCAGAAACGATTCTTCAGATAATAAGGAGCTGCTGCTGCCCCAAATCCTGCACTGAAAGGGAAGATGGAAGAGAAGAGGTGCAGTTCGGAAGAGAGACTAAAAAAGGTTTGAGGAAAAGGGTACGGGAAGGATGAGTAGCAATCCGAGAAAGAAAGGCCATGGGAGAGGAGAGGGGAGAAAGTGCAATGCAGGGATCCAAGGTGCTGCGAGAGAGATAAGGAGGGATACAGCGGTCCCCCGCCGGGCATTGCATGGCACGGCACAGCACAGCACAGCACAGCACAGCACAGCACAGCACAGCACAGCATGGTAAGGAGATTCAGCGTTGCAACAGTAGGTGCACCCACCGTTGATGGCATGGGGTTGCCCGTCCGCCCACACCCACGTGACTCGCTCCCCCACCGGCACCACTGTGCTGGGCTGCCTGCTCGCCCCCCACATCACCGTGGGACCTGTGACTGGTGGTGGGGCATGGCATGGCAGACATGACAAAACACACAAGGGAGCGACATGACATGCCATGAGACACATCGCATTGGCAACACCACCTTGCTGGGCTGCCTGCTGGCCCCCCACATCACCGTGGGACCCGTGGGAGGGAGGGGTCCACGACAACAGGTTGAGCGCATGCAGCAAGGGAGGAAGCGGAGAGGGGAGAAGCGGGAGATGCAAAGACACGTCTTACCGTCCCCGTCCTTTTATCAACTCTTATCCCACACTCACCGGTGGTGCCGCAGGAAGGCAGGGAGGGGCCCACGACGACAGGGTCAAGTGCATGCAGCAGGGTGAGGAAGCGGAGAGGAGAGAAGCAGGAGGTGCAGAGACTCCTCGCCCATCCTCATCCATCCTCACCTATGCATCCCCACCTGCCCCCATCCCCACCTGCCCCCATCCCCACCTGCCCCCATCCCCACCTGCCCCCATCCCCACCTGCCCCCATCCCCACCTGCCCCCATCCCCACCTGCCCCCATCCCCACCTGCCCCCATCCCCACCTGCCCCCATCCCCACCTGCCCCCATCCCCACCTGTTCCTAACCCATCCCCACACTCACCGGTGGTGCCGCAGGAAGGCAGGGAGGGGTCCACGACGACAGGGTCGAGTGCATGCAGCAGCCGGGCGGCATCCGCCACATCATCGTCCGGCAACAGGACGACGGACTTGAGCGCTGCGGTGAGGAGAAGGACGAAACGCGCCGCCTGGTCCCGAGACAAGCGGGACGTCTGATTGCTGCAACGGGTACGCACAGCGTTGTGAATTGAAGAAGGGAATGAGAAAAGGAGTGAGAACGGGAGGGAGAGCGAGAAACGGAGGGAGAGAGGGAGGGGGACGTGCAAATAGATGTTCAATTGCAGGTTCTATCTAGTCGGGAGAAAGCAAGGAGTAGCAGAGAGCGCGTGCAGTGTAGGCATTTTGAGAAAGGGAGTGAGGGGAGAGAACGGCTGATGAAATTGGTGCGAACAGTATGCAGCCCCACCACGCTGCAACACAACACCTGTATTGCAATCTGAGTCAGCCTAGGAATCAGGCAACTCACAGCGCAACAGTCCAAGGCACGTCGGCCGCCAGCTCAGAAGCAGAAACCAGCTGCCGCCCGTCCCATGATGACGTGTACTTGCACTCGGGCACTTTCCGAGCAGCTTCCTCCCCGGCAAAGAGCACACAGAGGAAGGCAGCCAGTTGGGACCGAGAGGACGGGGAGAGGATGACAGGCGGGAGGATAGCGGGGGAGGAAGGGCGGGTGGAGGAGCGGCGAGAGGAGGAGCGAGAGGAAGGAGAGGGGGGAGAGGAAGGCGAGGGGGGAGAGGAGTGAGAGGAGGGAGGGGAGGGGTTGGCCCGGGGGGAGAAGAGGGGGGAGCCAACGAGGCAGTCGTCCTTGACAGCTGTGTAGAGGGCCCTGGCGACTGCCACGTGGAGGCTTGTGATTCGCTGGGAGTCGGTGGAGCCGAGGTGAGTCCAGATGCTTGTGGCGTTGCCTGGGGGGGGAGGAGCGTGGGGGACGGGGTGAGGGGAAGGGTGGTTAGGAGGTGCAGTCTTAAGTGTGCTCCTGTAGAATGGGCTGGGAGTGGTGGTGATGGAAAAAACTATCGACATTAGTGTGGATTTTAGGTGCTTCAAAGTACAAAATTTCCAAGGCACCTAAAAAAAGGGCCGAACCTCATGCATTCTTACCCACCAGGCAAAGCAGCAAGCGAAGAGGCAACAGCAGCAGTAGCAGCGACCTCTGCCAGGCGTTTCCGGCCCTGGAGCCGAGCCTGCTGCCGAGCCTGGTGCCACGAAGAGGTTCGGCTGACAGCCTGTGCTGCCCGCTCCCAGAGGTTCCGAGCCTTCCTCTGAAGAATGGTAAGGTGTGAGAATGGGTAGGAATGGGCGAGGAAAGGGTGAGAAAGGTTGAGAAAGGAACATAAGGAAGGTGTGAGAAAAGCAGAGGAGAAAAGAGAGGCACGGTTGTGACGGCAGCTGAGAAAAGGGCAGGGGGGCCAAAATGGATGGAACACAACACAACTCAAGAAGAAAGAGGCAAAGCAGAAATGACAGGAGGAGCAGGCGAGAAGGGTTATGGATAAGCGTGAGGATGAATGGAATGGGGAACCTGTAGGGTATTCGCCTACCCCTGTTGTTTTTGAGTCACCTGGTATTCGCCTACCCCTGTGGTTTTTGAGTCACCTGGTATTCGCCTACCCCTGTGGGTTTTGAGTCACCTGGTATTCGCCTACCCCTGTGGTTTTTGAGTCACCTGGTATTCGCCTACCCCTGTGGTTTTTGAGTCACCTGGTATTCGCCTACCCCTGTGGTGAGCGTTGAGTTGGACGGATCTGAAAGAGCGACGCGGGGCACGATGAGGAAAGACGACAAGGAGAGAGGAGGAAAGAAGAGGAGAGCAGGAGACTGATGAGGAGAGGAGACAAGCGGGGAGGAGAGGAGAGGAGAAGGGAGAGGGGAGACGATTGCAGAGGATAGAAGGGGTGATGAGGAGAGGAGAGAAGGGAGAAGGGAGGACGACAGGGGGGGAGAGGAGGGGAGTAAAAACGAGACTAGCAAAGACAAGAGAGGAGTGACAGCAAGAAGTTGCGAAAGAGTGTTTATTCCTCATGCACATTCGGCCGTTTTTTTTCATCTTTCTTTTTCTTTTTCTCTCTTGGGGCAAACACACACAAGTAAGCAGTAAAAGAAAGCGAAAAGGTGAGAGAGCAAGTGAGAGAGCACAAGAACGCTGGAGAGAGAGGATGAGAGAGAGCAAGCAAGAGAGCATGGAGGCTTACAGGAGCACTGGAAGCCTGCAAGGCTGTCTGCAGTGGCGTTGATGATCTGTGGGGCGAGAGGAGCAGAGCATATAGGGGCATGGGGACAGCATAGGGGGGCATGGAGGCAGGGGCAGAGGCGCAGGGCTTAGGATTTGAGGCGGCGTGGCAACATGGGCAAAGGAGGGCTCAATGGGATGGTGGCAGTGGGATGGGAACGGATATGAAACGAGAGAGAATGCGTGTGTTATTGTGATAGAGTGAGCGAGTGAGGGATGGGGTGAATGCGAGGGAAAAGCGAGAAAATGCAGTCACAGCAGTACATTCTACATTGCACGTCAGCGCAAGAAAAGAGTGGGAAAGCCAGGAAAAGCATGGAGAATTTGTGGTTGCAGGGAGAGGCGCATGCGCAAAAGAGGGGACCAAGAAGTCATCTGCATTAGAGGTGACCAAGAAGTCATCTGCATTAGAGGTGACCAAGAAGTCATCTGCATTAGAGGTGACCAAGAAGTCATCTGCATTAGAGGTGACTTACGCATGAGTCGCCTCAAAACTCACTCACTTACCTCAGCGCAAGAGAAGTCACTAAAGGGCAGGAAGGGCAGGGATGAGTTGTCGTTGCAGGCAGAGGCGCAGGTGACAAAGAGCGAGGAGAGAGCTGCAGGGGAGTAGCCTCCGGCCCCACAGTAGTTGGCCAGACAACCTGCAAAGCGCGAGCAGGCCTGCGGGTAGGTGGGCAAAGGGAGAAGCGCAAAGAGAGGGGTGCGTAGGAAGGGTGTGTGGGGACTGGCATAAATCAGGGAGCATGTCCCACACATTCTCTCAGTCCACTGGCATAATCCAGGCGCATGTCACACTCACTCCCACTGCCCCACACATTCTCTCAGTCACACTCACTCCCACTGCCCCACACATTCTCTCAGTCACGCTCACTCCCACTGCCCCACACATTCTCTCAGTCACACTCACTCCCACTGCCCCACACATTCTCTCAGTCACACTCACTCCCACTGCCCCACACATTCTCTCAGTCACACTCACTCCCACTGCCCCACACATTCTCTCAGTCACACTCACTCCCACTGCCCCACACATTCTCTCAGTCACACTCACTCCCACTGTCTCACACTGTCCCACTCACCGATCGGCATTCGGACAAGGGAGTGAGGTCTGACGTTTGGCATCCTCCCCACGTCACCAGCACCTTCCCAATACCACCAATACTGTCACTGCTGCTGCTGTCGCTGCTGCTGCCGCTGCTGCCACCGCTAATACCAGCAGCAGCGACTGCAGCAGCAGCAAAGGCGGCATTTCTGCTGCCGGTGAGTCGGAGGGTGCCGGCGACGCCTCCCCCCGGCGCATTGAGCACGAGAGACCACGAGCCATCTGGCAGTGCGAGCGTGACCTGCGTGTCCGATGCTAGCTCTGTGAACTGCTGGTCCTCTGCGTACCTGGTGAGGGGGGAAGGAGGGGGGGGGTTGCAAGAGGGATTGACCAGCAGCAGCAGCAGAAACAGCAGCAGCAGCAGCAGCAGCAGCGACAGCGGGATGAAAAGGGGTGAAAAGTGGTGCAGGGAACAGAGGGAGAAGTTGCAACATGTGTTGTACGAGCGAGCGTGACTTGCATATCCGATGCCAGCTGTGTGAAGTGCTGGTCCTGCGTACCTGGTGATGTGAGAGGTGAGGAGTGGGAAGGAAGGAGGGTGGAAAGAGCAGAGAGGCGAGGGCAGAGAATGGGGAGATAGCAGCAGTGAGGGGGCAAAAGGGTACCAGCAGAGAAGGGAGGCCGGAAGGGCATACCAGCAGAGAGGGGTGGGGGCGTCGCGGCAGAGGTTCCAGGAGGAGGCAGCGGCATCAGTGGGGGAGTGGAAGTCGGTGGTGAGGTGCACTGTCACGCTCGTCACGGCCGCCAGGTCCCCACAGTCCGCCGAGCAGCCGAAGCGACCGAAGGCTTCAAACTCCAAGGGGCGCTCGCAGATGCCGTTGCCGCAGGGAGGGTCCTTCCATACCACCTGGTGGGGATGTGGGTAAGTGGGGAAGGTGGGGGCAGGATGGGATAAGGGGGAGGGGAACAGGGGAGGGAAAGGGGTAACAGGGTGTGGATAGCGGCTTCAAACTCCAAGGGGAGCTCGCAGATGCCGCTGCTGCAGAGAGGGTCCTTTTACACCACCTCCCTGGTGGGTTGTGGGGCCAAGGAGGGAGGGGGGTAGATAAAGGAGGAGAGGAACGGGGGGGGGGGGGGGTGACGGAAAGCGTGTAAGCCCAACCCAACGCTTCAAACTCCAAAGGAGGCCCAAAGATGACATTGTCACAGGGGGGTCGTGTCTGGGCCACCTAGGCTTTAAGGCCTCAGAGCAATCGACAACAAGTGCTCCGAGATGCCTTGCACAGCGGGCAGCGGCAGGCTGCTAGCGGAGCAGCCAGACAGCGATGTGCCAGTATAAGATGCGCTGAGCAGTCTCTGGAATTATGGTGGGGTGGGGTATCATCGATCGACGATCGCACACACGCACCTGTATGATGCTGTGGTTGATCCACGTGTACAAGTCGTCTGGACTCTATTAAGGTGCCTCAAAATGCGTCCCGTTTCACGCCGATCAACAGTCCGACACACCTGTATGATGCTGTCATTGATCCACGTGTAGAAGTCGTCTGGACTCTATTATGGTGCCTTAAAACGCGTCCCATCTCACGCCAATCAACAGTCCGACACACCTGTATGATGCTGTCATTGATCCACGTGTAGAAGTCGCCTGGGCTGTTCATGGTCATGGACGCTGCTGCTGTATAGTCCTGAGAGCGAATTGGGCGATAGAATGAAGGGACGTGGCGGGCGGGGAAGGGGGAGGGGGAGAAGAGACAGGGAGGGTTGGACGTCTGATTCGGGTTCGCATGCAAATGCACACAGATGTCGCACACATGCGCGCGTCACGCAGGCATGCACACATACGCACACACCCACCCCCGTGCGTGCGTACACACACACACTCAATCAAACACCATTCATCCCTCCCTTCTGCACACACCCACACCCCACGCACTGGCGGCAGCAGCACATTGTGGGCGGTGGTGACTTGGTCGCAGATGGAGGCGACATGCACACACAAGCACACAGAGAGATACACACATACATACACACCACCCGCCTCCCACCTCCACCCAACACCCCCACCCACGCATACCGGCGGCAGCAGCACGTTGTGGGCGGTGGTGACTTGGTAGCAGTTGGAGGCGTCGGCTTGCAGGTAGAGCACGGTGAGGTAGAGGCAGGTGTAGCAGAGGAAGAAAAAGAGATTCTTGAAGTTGTCTGTTAGCTCTCCCATGTGCTTCACTCGCTCATACATGGCTGGGAGTTGGGGGGGAGAGGAGAGACAGTGAGGAGAAGGAGGAGGGAGAGAAAAGGACGACGGAGAGGTAGAGGAAGGTGTAGCAGAGGAAGAAGAATAGATTCTTGAAGTTGTCCGTTAGCTCTCCCATGTGCTTCACTCGCTCGTACATGGCTGGGGGGGTTGGAAGGGGGGCCGGAGGGAGGGGGGGAGAGAGGGAGGACCGATTGAGGAGGGGAGTAGAGGAAAAGGAGAGAATGAGTGGGGGAAGAGGACGAAAGGAGAGATAGGAGGGTGAGGGGAGAGGAGGGGGGAGAGAGAGACAGCGGGTGAGGCCCCGTCCCTTGGGGACTGCCTCTCAGTTCTTGATCCTGCACTGGATCTTGCTTAGAGGGTGCTGAGCTGAGGAGTGAGTAGGAAGTGTAATATGTGTTAGCCCTACTTGTGTGATACCTATACCTTGCATGTCTGTTCACCTTAACTATCAATGAAAGGGCCATTAGAGAGGGGAGGGTGCGGTAGTGGCAGGTGAACTTTCACTCAGCTCAAATCACGCCTGAAAAGTCACCTGACAGCTCACGCACCCTGAATAACCTTCTAATGCGTATCTCCTGCGGCGAGACATAGTCACCTGAGCTCAACCAGGACCTCAAGCTCCCGACAGCTACATGCACCCTGAATAACCTCCTGGTCGAGCTTTGAGTCGACTGAACAAGCACCCGACGGTCGCACGGACTGTGAATAACCTTCTGGACAAGCTTCGACTTGACTCATCAAGAATCACCTGACGGCTGCACGTACGCACCCTGAATAACCTCCTGGTCGAGCTTCTCCCGCTGCTCCACCTCCTCGTTGTACCCGTCGTCCCCCTCCCCGTCCCCGTCCCCGTACCCCTCCTCCCCCTCCTCCCCGCTCCCCCTCCGCCGGTCCGCGAACGACACCATGCCCTTGCCGCTGCGCGACGCTTTGAGACTCCGCATGGCCGCCAGATTGACATCGCTGTCGTCTCGAATGGCGTCTTCTGCACCGTCCTCCGACTCCTCCTCCTCCTGGTCCTCGTCATTCCCCTCATCATCATCATCATCATCCGTCTCCTCCTCTTCCTCATCATCCGTGCCCTCCGCCGACCCCCCTTCCCCCCGCTCCTCCTCCGCCTGTCCGCCGTCGCGCGCGTCTGGCGGCTCCTTTGCGTGGCTCTCCCGCAGGGTGAACATCGCCCGCGGGGTGAACATGGCCTCGTGATCCTCATCGCAGTCTAAATACTCTCCGTCGTCATCCTCGTTGTCGTCGTCCCGAAACGCGACGGCCAGCTTCCCTCGGCCATGGTGACCGTTTGTAGTGCTAGCAGATGTGACATGTGCAGAACTCCCGAGGGGGTCTCTTTCGGATTTCCCTACGCCGTCGGGTCGTTCCCTTGCGGAATTGCCTACACCGCTGGTTCGTTCCGCGGCTTCGCGCGGCCTCTCCGCTGCGCCAGGGGGGTGTCTGGCGGAAAACGGGAATGGCGGAACGGGACAGCGGGGTAGTCAAGGAGGGTGCGCGGTAGAAAGAAAGAGCCGTTAAGAGTCGAGAAATGCAGACCGATAACATCCAAAAGAATAGTAAGCTTGTATGAAAGCTTACAGTCGTTGCTAAACGATGTGTACTATGTATCGAGTGCGCGCAACTAACCACTGCAAACTGATGGCGATACACTCCTACCTAAATCTAGCAGACATTTGTGCGTGTTGCTGCTGCCGGCCCTGATTCTCCCTTCCCAGTTGCGACAGACGTGACGACTGGCCGATTGATGCTGGTGATAAGACGGCCGTGTTATGGTCACGCGGCGTGCCTGACGACGACTGTGCGGAGCTGGTTCGCGGAACGTTCGGACCTGGAGACTGGTTGTCGCGATGCCACCTCACTACAGTCGCTTCCGCCATGGATAGGTTTCAAGTAACACAATAAGCACTCAAACAGAGCAGTGCAATTTCGCGAGTCACAAAAACTCAGGACGTTCCAAGTTTAGGACCAAACACAGCATATGTTTTGTCATCACACCAGCTGATTACCAGACGACACTGTTTGAAATTCCCTGGATGGTGTGTTGTGTGTCTGGACTGTCAGGATGAGCCAATTGCCGAGCCACCGGATGTTACTGTATTGGTGCTTCCGCGCTCCAAGGCGGAACTGGCAGGCACTGTATTGAATCAAAGGCGGGGGGAAAGTGATGCGCGGGGAGGTACAGCAGAGGGGGCACAGGGGGCACTGCGCAGCGGAGACTTGTGTGGATGGCGGCAGCTGAGAGGTTGCGGGGGAAGCGGGCGTCTGAGTGTCCAACCGCGCCTCGTTGGAAATCGGTGTGGAATTTTGATGGGGAAACCGTAGGGCTCTAAACACAGCGTGTACCATTCTTTTACTTCTGGTCTATACATTTGAGAACATTCATGTTACAATTGTCAATTGAACTGCTACCGTAATCCATGCAGGTTTCTACCTGGATAGATTACCTTCAGTCCAAATTTAATTGCTGCTCTCAAGCGGTCAATCCTCGTCAGCAACCGGGGTGAAAGCTAAGCCTTATTATTTGGACGAGCTAGCGCCGTGAACGAGAGTTAGCGCTTGCTTGACTAATCAGTCGCTCTAGCTGGACCAGTAGAACGATCAGCATGGCGCACAGGATGACATGGGTTGGTTGTATCTTGGACAAGAACTTGTCAGCGTCACCCAGGGTCTGGTTGAGCACTTTCACCTGTGTGAAGACAAAACCAGATGAGAATACGAAGTTTTGATCTCAACACAGAATATAAACATACAATCGGAACGAGGAAACAATCAACGATACTGACCATGTTTCTGTGATACGGCCTGACATAACGCCATGCGCCTTCGTTTGGACGAAGACCAATACGCACAAACAGGAGATACAGCTGCGAAAACTGGTACAAAGAGAACACACCGGCGAACATCGCCAACGGCGGAGCAAGAAGAATCAGAATCGGCCACATGGCGCTATCCATCGTCGACGAACTAATACTGCTGCTTCGAACAACCCTGAAAAAGCACTGCGTGCGGGGAACAAGGAGGTGAACGCGGATTCACGAGAAAGCTGCAGACAGGAGGCGCACTTCGTGCAGAGAACACAAGGAGGTGAACGCGAATTCAAGCGCAAGCTGCGATAAAAGTTCAGAATCTGGAGACTGAGGGAGCGAAGAGCGAGTCTGGCACGAGAGCATGCAGACTGTTATGGTCAGGTCAGGACCGCCCAAGAGATCTAGGGCATGGAGGCCGAGTTGCGGTTTGGGCACGAGATCAGGGCGTGAAACTCGAGCCAACCGCATCCCCGCGCCATCACTGATCTCCCGACATAAGCTCTTGTCAAATCGAGTTAAAGTAATCGAGTAGTCAAACTGTGTTGTTTGATATTGATGGGTATGTGTTATATAGTTGGTCGTGTGCAAAGCTGGTTGTATGCGAAGAAGCCCATTGTCCCGAGAGAGGTTTCTATATTGATTTATATATCATTTAATTTAGCTCGTTCGCAGTTCCCAGGAGGAATGCAATTATTTCAAGGTATATGATGAGTCAAAGTTTAGGATCTAAATATCTAAGATATTACAAACGGAAACTTTGAACTCTGTGAACAACACGCCACATTCAGCCAATGGTGAACTCCGCGAACAACACGCCACATCCATCCCCTCCACACTTCCCTCAGATTTCACGAGCCGCCAGCCTGACACTCCCGCCCGCCCCACCACAAACCATGCTGTTCTTGGACTGACGCAGCTCCCTCGCTCTATCCTCGTCCATGCTGCCTCAACCCAGTCGGAGGCACGCCGCCACGGCTCGCATCAATGACCCGCCTGTCCCGCCGCAGGTGATGGCCAGAAAGCGGCGCGGCACGTGGGGCTTCGGGCGACAGAGGCCCGGCGCGTGGCAGGTCCGTTGCTGCCCGCTGCGACACCTTTGAATGCGAAATCTAGGGTAACACATACACCTGCTGCGATGCCGTGCGAGGCTACAAATGCCCTCCATTCACCGCCCTCCATTTCTCTCATCAGGTCCTCCCATGCGCGGGAGCGCTCGCCGCCTTCTTCGCGACGCTGCTCCTCGCCTCCGCCGCCGCCTTCTGGCTCGGCGCGCAGCCCGCGGCGGAGGCGCTCATCCGCTCCCTCCTCGCGCCCTCCGCCGCTCCCTCCACGCCACTCAGCGCGGAAGAGGAGCCTGGCGAGTCTATTGATGGCGAGCCTATCAATGGCAAGTCTTCCAGGGTCGAGTCTCTTGATGGCGGAACCACGGGGGTGACTGAAGCTGCAGCAGCGTCCGCGTTTGGGAGTGCCTCGTTTCTGCTAGAGGAGAACGCGTCTGTGCCGCGGATTCTGGAGTTTGACCTGGTCAAGACATACCCGCACGACAACAGAGCCTTCACACAGGCACGCTCGTTTCAGCCTCGTTGGCTCGTTTCCGCTGCAGCTCAATCGAATGCTCCTGGCTATCTGCTATCGGATGGTCTGGGTTCCCTTCCTCCTTTCTCCCCTCTCTCTCCAGTCAGGGTCTCGCCTCTCTCCGCTTCTCCCTCTTTCCCATCGCTATCCGCAGGGCCTGCTATACGCGGATCATGAAGCGAGCGGGGGGAGGGGCACCGGCGAGGGGGTGTTTTATGAGAGCACGGGGGAGTATGGGCGGGTGAGTGGGAGGATGTGCATGGGTGAGTGGGGCGCGCGTATATGAATGGATAGGGCGCCCAAGGGCGAAAGGGAACTTGACTGTGTGGCTGGGTTGGAAATAGGGGGATTTACATTAAATCTATCTAGGCGCTTGCAGTTGCAGAATCACTGTCCCTCTGCGTTCCCCTGGTCTTTGAGTCTTGACAGATCCGTCCCTCCAGCGTCAGCTTGTGTTTCAATCGATCCTTCACGACTGTCCCCTCTTGTCTCGGTCCCCCTTGCCCCTGTCCCCCTTTGTCCCCATTCCCCGGTGTTCCTGTTCCCTTTCTCCCCTTGCCCCTATCCTCCTTTGCCATGCACCCCCTCTTTCTTCCCGGGTGCAGTCGACAGTGAGGGAGGTGGATGTGGCCTCTGGTGAGGTATGCTGCATGGCATGGCGTGGCGTGGCAGAGCGTGGCATGGCACGGGCATGACATAGAATGGCATGGCATGGCATGGCATGGCGTGGCGTGGCGTGGATGGCGTGGCGTGGTGTGGCACAGCATGGCATGGCATGGCATGGCGTGGCATGGCATGGCATGGCGTAGCATGGCATGGCATGGCGTGGCATGGCGTAGCATGGCATAGCATGGCATGGCATGGTGAGGTTGCGGCATGCTCTCTACGCTACCATCAGTGGCACACAGATGTTCCACGTTGTGCCATCGTGTTGCCCTCATGTAGGGTCCAGCTCGGTTTGCGTGTATTAAGCTTGGTGAGGGGCGGTATGGTATGGTCCTGCAGCAACGGCCACCTGACCTAACAGCTTCCACATTCTTTCCACTGCTCTGCCTGTCCCTTCTCCCGCTCGCTCTCGCGTCCTCCCCAGGTGCTCAACAGCGTGCCTCAGAGTGATGACGTTTTTGGCGAGGGCCTTGCACTGCATGACAACAGGTACATTGCAGAAATGGCAGGTACAGTGCGTTATAGAATACACAGTCCGCTATAACAGCTACAGTGCATGTATAATGCATAACAGCAGGCACAAAGAACAATGACGCACAAAGTGCAGCAGAACAGTAGTTGTTAATGCATCTTAATAATTACAGTGTATAGTAACAGGCAAAGTACGTAAGAACCGAGATGTACCAGCTGGTTTGGCGTGTGAGGTCACGCCTGGGGTGCGACAGAGAGAAGCCTTTGAGACCCCCCTGTACCGCTCTTTACCCCGTCAAACTCTGTGATTCTTCCTAACACCTCACTGTGCCCCTCTGAACCGCACAGGCTGTACCAGCTGGCATGGCGGGTGCAGAAAGGCCTGGTGTACGACCGAGACACACTACAACCACGGGGTGAGTATGATGGTGGAGGAGGGGGGGATAAGGGAGGGAGGGGGAGAGGGAGGACGCAGTTGTGGAATGGGGGGGAGAGTGGGGTGGTAAGGGGTGATGAGTATGAAGAGTGGGTTGCTCTCGCATGCTTTCTTACCACATCAGCCATCCCATGCGCTCAAGCCATCCTAAGCGAGCCAGCCCATGCTATTCAACCGTGCCCTGATTCATCACGCCATGCTATGCCATGCTATGCCATGCTATCCGTAAGGTTGGTTCTTTCGCATTCCCCGACATCCTCCTCCATTGTTCACTTCCCGCTGATTCCAGGCAGCTTCCAGCACGGCATGGCGGACGGGTGGGGCCTATCTGTGCTCAACGAGTCAATCATGGTCGGCACAGATGGCTCATCCACGCTCTTCCACCTCGACTCCTCGTCCTTCAAAGGTTAGATAAGACGGGATTTTAAGCCGCCTCAAAAGTTAATTGAGACAACTTTTGAGGAGAAGAAGACTCAGGACAGGTGGGGCCTGGCAGTGCTCAACGAGTTGGTCATGGTCGGCACTGATGGCTCTTCCACGCTCTTCCACCTCGACTCCTCGTCCTTCAAAGGTTAGATAAGACGGGATTTTAAGCCGCCTCAGAAGTTAATTGAGACAACTTTTGAGGAGAAGAAGACTCGGGACAGGTGGGGCCTGGCAGTGCTCAACGAGTTGGTCATGGTCGGCACTGATGGCTCTTCCACGTTCTTCCACCTCGACCCCTCGTCATTCAAAGATTAGATGAGGCGGGTTGTGATGCGCCTCGGAACTCGGACAGGTGGTGGCTGGCAGTGCTCAACGAGCTGGTCATGGCTGGCACTGATGGCTCCTCCACCCTCTTCCACCTCGACTCATCGCCCTTCAAAGCTTCCACCCATTCTTCCATCTCCGGTCCTTGACCTTCAAAGGTTAGGTGAGTCAGGTTTTGATGCGTCTCGGAACTCGTACAGGTGGGGCCTGGCAGTGCTGAACGGGTCAGTCATGGTTGGCACTGATGGCTCCTCCACGCTCTTCCATCTCGACTCATCGACATCGTCCTTCAAAGGTTAGATGAGACCAGTTTTGAGGCGCCGCAAAGGCGAGATGAAGCGAGTTTTAGGGCGCCTCAAGAGTCGGACGGGTGGGGCCTGGCAGTGCTGCTGAACGAGCCGGTTCTGGTCCTCCCCACCCACTGGTGGCTCCTCCCTGCTCTTCCACCTCCACTCATCGCCCTTCAGAGCTTGCTCTCGCTCACTCCCTCCCCCACCCCCAACCCCCACTTCCCCGCCGACTTCCCCACCATCTTTCTTGCGGTCTCCCCCATTCCAGTCCTGGCACGGGTGACAGTGACAAAGAGGGGAAGGCACATCCAAACCTGAGCTGGATTTCAACCAGTGCCCCCTTCCCCTTCCCCCTTCTCCTTCCCTTCTCCCTTGCCCCCTTCCCCTTCCCCCTTCCCCTTCCCTTCTCCCCTGCCCCCTTCCCCTTCCCTTCTCCCGTTCCCCTTTACCCTTCCAGCCAAAGCACGCGTGACAGTTAAGGACGGCAAGAGGAGCATACCGAATCTGAACGAGCTGGAGGTGGTGGGGGGGCTGGTGTGGGCCAACGTGTGGCTGAAGGTTTTCCCCTGCTCCCTCCCTCTTCTTCACCCCCCTTCCGCCTCCCCCATTCCAGCCGTGGCACGGGTGACAGTGAAGGATGGCAAGAGAAGCATCCCGAATCTGAACGAGCTGGAGGTGGTGGGGGGGCTGGTGTGGGCCAACGTGTGGCTCTCCACCTGCCTCGCCGCCATCCACCCTGACACCGGCAAAGTGCTAGCGTGGCTGGACCTCTCTTCCCTGCAGTGAGTTGGATCTTGGGTTAGGTCAACCATTGGAGGCGGGACAGACTAGTGGCCTGGCAATGCCAGCACGTGCTCCATCCACGTATTGTAGACCATCTGTCTCGCCACCATCCACCCACCCACACTACCAGATCACTGCAGTATGGAGAGGGTCGGTTTAAATCGTCCTCTGGGAGCTGACTAGTGGTGTGCAAATGCCATTCTTTTCGTTCCACTTGCCTCCTGCCCCTTGCCCCGTCCCCCTTGTGGCATGCTACTGTTGTGCGGTTCTCACCGTTGCTAGGCGTCAGACAGTGCCCATGTGCTTTCCTCCCCCCAACCCCATCCCTGCAGGCGTCTAGCGCATGCAAGATCAAACGAACTGAACGCACATGTGAGTGGCCTACGGGAATGGTCTCTGCTTCCATGGCTAGGTTTCAGTTTCCCCGTCCTTCCATCGTGAGCGTTGATGCACATAGAACAACCATGAGAGAGTATCTTGTGCCAGGGTTGGGATACAGGGAGGCAAGGACAAGTGCAGAAAGATGAAGTGCATATGGCTTGTATGGTATGGGGAAAGGCACATTGATGCATGAGGGGTTCCATGTGTTCCAGAATCTGATGCATGGAAAACATTATGCATGACGCACCTCTCTGACTGCTTTGTTGCCTTTGCCAGGAATTCGACGTGCTGAACGGGATCGCATGGGACACCAGGCACAACCGTCTATTCGGTAAGAAGTTCATTTTCGTGGATGTCACATTGCATTGTTACCCAGCTAGCTTGCCTGTCGCATTGCAGTGTTGCCCAGCTAGCTCGCCTGTCGCATCTCAACTTCCCTTCTCTTCCCCCCTCCTCTCCCACCTCTTCTCCCGCTCTCCGCTTCACCCTTGCTTGAGCTGCTCCTGTTTCATTGACATCCTCCCTGCTTTGCATTTTTTGGCATTTGCAGTAACAGGAAAGTATTGGCCACTAATGTTCCAGATCATGCCAAGAATAGCCCCTCTGAAGGCTACTCCGAAAGAGCAAGCTGCGGAGTTGAAGAAAGTTAGAAAGGTGTGTCAGCCTGCAAGACAATATTTCACATAGGTTGGTTGTCGTTACTCTACTTTATGCAGCCTTCAAATATGTTTACGTATCACTCGTCTACTGAAGACTCCTTCTGTATGCTTCTCGTATCATCGACAAAGGAGTGCCTTGGAGATACCGGAACATTGCTATTGTTGCACTGTGCTAATTTCTCAAGCGCCTCAAAGGACAGTCGTTTACACACCGTGAAGAAGGCCAACGGTCTAGGCTAGCAGAAAGGGTGGGAGGGAGGGGGAAAGGAGGGGGGTACAAAAGGGAAGAGGGTGGGGGATACATCAATGACTGGAGAGGAAGAGGGAGGGGGAAGGAGTGGGGAGGTGGGGGCGGGAGATAACACGGTGCGCTGCGCCCCATAGCCCCTTTTTGGCCTTCACTTGCGATGCGCTCCTCAGAGGCCCCCCTGTGCCCGCACTCTTGCGAGTCGCTCCTTCACTGTACCCTTGCTTCCCTCTACGTGAAGACAGGCCCAGTCTGCTATGCAGCACCCACGTAAGCCGCATTGAACAGAGCAGTACCGACATGCACCACCCACACATGGTATACAGTACTTGTAAGTAGCTGTATACAGGTCATTGCAGGGCTGTAAGAGCATGTTCCTACGGCCTCTAGTCAGGCTAGGCCCTTGTCAGACTTGGTCATTCGAGCGATTTCGTTATTAACACCGTTTTTCAGACTTCAAAACAAACGGTGCTGCACGATGAATTGGTCACGCGAAACCTATCACACGTGCTGTTTCGACGAGCCAGGTCAGTTATTCGCGCAGATGAAGATTTTACAGCCACCAAGCGCACGTTTCGGTCGTTTGTGATTTGTCAGGACTCAGGAAACAATTATACCTTTGCAACCTTTCGGAACGGGAGCGCTGCGCAGTGCCACGTCACCCCACTCATTGTGTCGCGCACTTCACCAAGCAACGGAAAGAAATAAATAAAAAGTAGGGTTAAGCTGAAATATTAGTGTTTGAGGCGAGTCTGACAAGAGGCCAGCCTGACTAGAGGCCGTAGGAACATGCTCTAACACACGTGCTCAGGTGGGTGGAGGGGGCCGTTGCATTGCTTGTACGGTATGGTGCGCTCTGCAGTGAATAACGTACCACCGGCAGCTAGCTATGCTGCTGTCTACCATCCCATAAGCCAACCAAGTCATCCTTGTCAAACATATGTATATCTATGTTATATTTTGGGTAGGCTTAGTGGGGTACACACTGTAGGGTACAACCCCTTAGGTTCATTTTTTCTTTGTACCACCATCTCGATAGTCGACATTGATCCATGCCTAGCTTCTAAGATGGTATCTAGAGCATAGGTCTTTAGGACCTAAGATTAGGGCCCACCGATTACTGCATTACCTCACCTACGGCCTTACCTACCTGCCTGCCTTGCCTGCTGCCCGCGCGCGCCTCGGCTGCACGCGCGCGGCCCTTTTTTTTTTTCCGTGCGCGCCACTTAAGCAGCCCGCGCGCAGCCCGTTTTCGGCCCCGCGCGCCACGTCAGCCACTCGCGCAGCCTGCCGCCGGCCCGCGCGCCGTGTAAGCCGCCCGTGCGCAACCCGCTTAGGCCCTGCGCGCCGCGTCCGCCGCCCGTGTAGCCCGTTTTAGGCCCCACACGCCGCGCCAGCCGCCCACGCAGCCTGCCGCCAGCCCGCGCGTCGCCACGAGCAGCCCGCAGCTGCGCGCGCTGCCCGTAGCCACGTGCAACCTGCAGCCTCGTGCAGCAAGCCGCCACACGCAGCCAGCAGCCTCACGCAGCCCTCAGGCCGCTCCTGCCTGCTGCCTACCTGCTGCCTGCCTGCCTGCCTGCTTGCTGCCTGCTGCCGCCTGCCTGCAGCCTGCCTGCTGCCTGCCTGCTGCCTGTCTGCTGCTTGCTGCCTGCTGCCGCCTGCCTGCTAGCTGCCTGCTGCCGCCTGCCTGTCGCCTGCCTACATGCCTGCTTGCTGCCTGCTAGCTGCCTGCTGCCACCTGCCTGCCTGCCTGCTTGCTGCCTGCTGCCGCCTGCCTGCAGCCTGCCTGCTGCCTGCCTGCTGCCTGTCTGCTGCTTGCTGCCTACTGCCGCCTGCCTGCTTGCTGCCTGCTGCCGCCTGCCTGTCGCCTGCCTACCTGCCTGCTTGCTGCCTGCTAGCTGCCTGCTGCCACCTGCCTGCCTGCCTGCTTGCTGCCTGCTGCCGCCTGCCTGCAGCCTGCCTGCTGCCTGCCTGCTGCCTGTCTGCTGCTTGCTGCCTACTGCCGCCTGCCTGCTTGCTGCCTGCTGCCGCCTGCCTGTCGCCTGCCTACCTGCCTGCTTGCTGCCTGCTAGCTGCCTGCTGCCACCTGCCTGCCTGCCTACTTGCTGCCTGCTGCCGCCTGCCTGCAGCCTGCCTACTGCCTGCCTACTGCCTGCCTGCTACTTGCTGCCTGCTGCCGCCTGCCTGCCTGCCTGCTTGCTGCCTGCTGCCGCCTGCCTGCAGCCTGCCTGCTGCCTGCCTGCTGCCTGCCTGCTGCTTGCTGCCTACTGCCGCCTGCCTGCTTGCTGCCTACTGCTGGTGCCTGCTGCCTCTGCCAGCTGCCTGCTGCCTACTGCCTCCTGCCTTAAGCCAATATGGCGACGCCTAACGTTCTAGCGTTCGGGCCTGACGGTCGTCCCATCGAGTTCACTGTATGGTTAGACGATCTCCAGCTGTTCCTTCTGACTGATGCCAAAGAGGGCGTTTCCCTGTTTGATTACGTCTCTGGCATTGCCGTTGCTCCTGCTGCTGATGCTCCTGCTCTAGAACGCTCTCAGTGGCAGACTCGTGATGCTGCTGCACGCCTAGCTATTAGGAACCACCTGCCGATTACTGAGCGAGCGCATTTCAGCCAACACAGAACTGCTAAGACACTGTATGACGCTGTAGTTGCGTGCTACTCCTCCCCGGCCACTGCAGCCATAGGTCGACTCATGCTACCGTACCTGTTCCCCGATCTTTCCTCGTTCACCATTGCTGAGGACCTAGTTTCTCACCTGCGCGCTACTGACTCTCGCTTTCGTGCCGCCCTTTCAGCCGAGTTCTGCGCCGCAAACCCCCCCCCCGATGTACTTCACTCTCTATTTCCTCGTCACCCGCCTCCCTGACACTCTTAGCTCTGTCAGGGACCACTTCCTAGCGCTAGACCCCACCACTCTCACTGTCGACGACTTCGAGAAGCACCTCCTCGCAGCAGAGAAGAACATCCTCGCTGTAGGTGCTGCTCGTGGCACTCCTCGCTCTCCCCTCTTTGAGGGGTGCTCCCCCTCCCCTCTCACCCCCTCCTACGCCTCCGCAGCTGCTGCTCACGACTACCTTGGTGCTGAGGGGGTCGGAGCTGCTTCCGCTCCTAGTGGGAAGCGTCGCAGCGGCAGGGGCGGCAGGGGTGGCAGGGGCGGTGGGGGTGGGGGTGGAGGTGGCGGTGGTGCAGGCGGCGGGGGAGGTGGAGGTGGTGGGGGTGGTCGCAGGGGTGGAGGCGGTGGAGGTGGTGGTGGGGGCAGCGGAGGCACTGGGAGCGGTGGAGGGGGCAGCAGCGGCGGTGGGGGAGGAGGGAGCGGTAGTGGCATTGGTGGTCAGGGTCAGCAGCAGCCGCAGTCGCACCAGCAGCAGCAGCAGCAGCAGCAGCAGCAGCAGCAGCAGCAGCAGCAGCAGCAGCAGCAGCAGCAGCAGCATCAGCGTCAGCGCCAGACCCCCACTTCCCAGCAGCTTCTTGACTGGTATGCCGGGCGTGGGGCTTCTGGGGTTCCTGGTCGCTGCCCCTATATCATCCGCACAGGTCCCCGCGCTGGTCGCCAGTGCACAGGTTTTCACACTGAGCAGCGCTGCTTCGCTCGGCTTAGCGACGCCTGGCGCGCCAAGTTTCCTGATGCTACTGAGTTCCCCAACTGGGCAGACTTGCTTAGGCATGATGTACCTATCTTTGATCTTGACTATGAGGCAATTCTTGCTGCTATGTATGCCTTGCCTGTTAGTGCTGAGGGTGACTGCTACTTGTGTGTGCCGCCGGATCCTGGTATAACCCCTGGTATAGCCCCTGCAGCACTAGGTGCTTGTGAGTCTGCTCCCTTTGGTACTACGCTTGCACAGGCTTTGCACACCTTTACACTTGACTCTGGTGCTTCCCGCTGTTTCTTTCGCGACAGTACCACAGTCACTCCCCTCCCTGCACCTATTCTTGTCTCACTGGCTGACCCCTCTCGGGGCCCAGTGCTTGCACGGTCTTCCACTGTGCTTCCGTGTCCGGCGGTCCCGTCTGGTGAGCTGTCTGGTCTCCACCTCCCCTCGTTCTCTACGAACTTGGTGAGTAACGCTGTCCTCCAGGATGCGGGGGTTGACACCTTCACCCCTGGCCGGCAGCGTGTGGCGATTTGCACGTGCTCCCAGACTGGTCGCCACCTGGCCACGTTCGCTCGTGCGCCAGGGTCCAGTCTGTACACCCTCAACACTGCGTCACGCTCCACCCCTTTGTCTCCCCAGTTGCACGCGTCTGCTCAGGTAGCTACACAGTGTGAGTGTCGCCGGCTGTCGCACGACACTCTCCTGTGGCACCACCGCCTTGGTCACCCCTCCCTGCCTCGCCTGCGCAGCATGCACTCCCGCTTCCTGGTTTCTGGTCTTCCCAGGTCTCTGCCTCCCCTCCCTCCCTCGCCTGCGCCGCCCTGCATTCCCTGCGTCGAGGGGCGGCAGCGCGCCACTCCTCACTCCTCCTCGTTCCCTCCCACAGAGGCTCCACTGCAGACTCTCCACCTGGACGTGTGGGGCCCAGCCCGCGTCCGTGGACAGGGCCACGAGCGGTACTTCCTGCTGGTTGTCGACGACTACACGCGCTACACCACGGTCTTCCCCTTGCAGCGCAAGGCGGATGTCCCTGATGTTTTGATCCCCTGGATCCGCGCTACTCGTCTCCAGCTCCGCGAGTGGTTCCAGTCGGACTTTCCTGTCCTGCGTCTGCACTCTGACAGAGGTGGTGAGTTCTCCTCAGACC